TGGAATAATGCGGCGGAATTACATAGGATTTTTTTTTTATAATTTTCATTTATTTGCTACAGATTTCAACTTTAATATGGTGCGGACCTACCAACGAAAGTTTACTAACTCACGCAACGGTAAGAATCATTCACCTTATCTGAGTTATTGCAAAGAAGATTTGCAAAATGCAATGGCTCACTGAAATTAATAGAGGCGGCTACGGGCTAATAAATACAACATTCCAAAGAGTACATTAAGCAGAAAATGTCGAAATATAAATTGCACCCAAGAAAAAGCCGGACACCCTACTCTTTTTTCAAAAGATGAAGAGATGGCGTTCATAAAATACATACAAATACTGAGTATACAAAAATACGTAAGTATGTACTTAACATTGTGAAATCAGTGTGACTAAATAGTACCTTAATACCATAATTTGTAGAAGAAAAATAAATATTGTGATTGACTACAGTTATTTTATTTAAATACATAATATAAACATTTCATAAAATAATCACGTCACTGTATATACACAGCTAACTCATTTTGCGCAATACATTTTTATTTGAAACTAGCTGTCCAGCGCTGCCTCCACGTAATTTTGCTTGCAAATTTCTTGTACTTTTCTTTCATAAAAACCTTTTCCTGACAAGAACAAACGCAAAAAAACAATAATTGCGAAATCGGTTCAGCCTTTCTCGAGTTTTGATCTTAGCAACACATTAAGCAATAAATTTTTATTAACATAGATGGATCGTACTTGCCCTTAAATATTCCAAATATAGCTTCACTTTCATTTACAATACCTTTGATATATTAACATTATATTCCAAATAACCCTAAAGAAGCCATAGATCTCTTAGTGAATAAATATTCCGTTGTTATTTTTGGCTTGTCTGTGGCATATAGAGAGCGAAATTAAGGTGCAATGAAGGCCACTTCTAACCCTATATCTTTTCCGAATATAGCTTACTGACTTTTATTTGACACAACTAAAAATAAAAAGAAAAACTAAGGCAAAAAAGTGAGATTACAAATAACCCCATTGATGCGATATTTGGAATAGCAACAATAAAGTATTATATCTTAAAATATATTTACAGAAAGTATACTACGATCATTACTATTTATAGTTTGTTGTGTAATCTACTAAAAAAAATATATTTCATGTCATTTGAGTTAGAATATTTTTTATAAACACCTGTTTGACGAAAAAAGTGTTTTAATTAGCCCCATTTTACGGTACAAGGTCTTTGTTCCCGATACTTTGTTGACTGAATGTATAGCATTTTACACGAGATTTTGTCGATGTTGCGATATATGGGATTTCCGTAATTGGGCCCTAAGGATATTAATCGAAACACTGTGAATGTCATGATCAGGTAATGACTGAGTTAATCTCTCTGCTGAGTCTGACCAGTGGCGAGTGTACTCCTATATTGGTCCTTGTTGTTGGAGTATGATAAAAGTTAGATAAGAAGTGTCTAGGGATATTGTAAGGTACTTTTAGTCCAACACTTTCTTTCTACAAGTTTCATGCAATCTAATTTGTTATTTAGCACTTTGAGGAGAAACGTAAGATCATGCATCATGATCATGAATCTATTTTATAGCACTCCATACGTTGTTCATAGGGACACCGAGGAGATATTTGGCCAGTTGTATAAGCTAGGTGCTTTGTGAAAGCCCTTTGTACCTTTGAACATAATCCAAACAAGATGTTTTCGGTAAACAAATTAATTATATGTATTAAATATAAAAGTGCAAGGTGTAAATAAAAAGACCAGAATTTCTAAAATTAATACTTAATTTCGTAAAATTTATTCAACATTAATACATTAACATACACTTGACAATCATTTAAAAATATTCAATAAAGTAAATAATAAAAAAGTAACATAATAAAACTTATGAAATATAGGTACAAATAACCACAGCCTATTGGATCGCAGACCAGTTTGAGTTTGGTTTGTTATGACAAAATATACTATTATAATTTTTAGGAAGGCGATTTTACAATGTAACTTTCAAGCATTATATTATAACTCATCCACCTAAAAATTCAGAAAATTTAGAAACCTATCATGACCACAATTTACTCAATGACAAGTCTAGAGGTGGTATAGGTTCAGGTATTTGAACACCTGTTGGTACCTATTAATGTCAATATGTAATTAATAAAAAGTATTGTAATTAAACATCGAAAATGATTGTAAAGCTTACATAATGAGTAGTATTTTTTGAACTATTAGGAAAATTTAATGAGGGTATAATAGAGATGGAAGTACTAAACTTCAAAAAGAAAATTAAAAAAAGAAGTAGTAGTAGAATTTTATAATTACGAAAATTCTTGCCTTAGAATGACGATAGAGATAAATTGCAGAGCCAGGACAGCAAGTTTAATTGGAAATACTGAAATCCCAATACTCAAAGAATAATTTGAAACAATGGTCTTAAAAAAACTTAATTAGGTATTGCATATTATGTTACATCTGTCAACTTCCAATTGAATAATTTGCAGTCATGACATTAGGTACTAGTCAAAAATGCTAATATATACGACTGTGTACAGTACACCAACCAGCTCCTGATCATTAAATGACCTTAAGAAATAAACAAAACATAACAAAAACATATTTACAATTACCATTAGACAATGAAATCTACATGCAATACATTTAATATACTTATAATCACAAAATATTTGAATCAGTTACACATTTGTTGTACCTACGACGGCATTGTATGGGTATTTTGTAGTAAAAGCTACAACCTGTACAACTTTCCCATTATATTAAAAAAAATGGCATACTTTAAAATGTACAATTGTATTATTTGAATTCCGAGGGATAACAAAGTATGGCACGCTCGGAATAAACTATAATTTTCTTTTATCCGAAAAGACCCACCTTACGCCACCAACGACTCAATAAGCTTCTATATTGGAGCATCAATATTCTAATTACATTTTAATATAATTTTTAAATTTTATATACAAGAAATTTCTTACTTTTTTTTGAGGTATTTTTTATATATGACAATGATATACTTAGTCTTAAAGTGAAATATAGAATGTAAAACCTTCTTATTTGTATAAATAAAATCCGTCTTTCTTTTGACAAATCGAATTGTATGATGGAAGGTTGTTATATAACTTCTAAAAATAATTTATTTAAGCCAGATAAGGATCTAAACTCAATTAATTTCCGTTTGTAGAAACACCTAGGCGACATTAAAATACAAATTAAATTGACAAATTAATAACATTCTTTCTCTGTCATAAAATAGAAATTAATTTTAAATTCGAATATTTTAAATTGATATGAGTTAAATATAATTTTATTCCATTTCATTAATTAACATTAAATGTATAATCTACCATAAATATATTTATCTTATACATATACTTTATTAATTTATATTGCAGATCGTTCTTTAACAATAATAATTATTATAAAAAATATATTTCGTACAGTTAAATTAAAGCAATTAACAAGGATGAATGTAATTTGATCAATCAGTCATGGTTAAAATGGTATTTGACTGTGTAAATAAAATTCATCGCAGATTGCCTGATGCCATTTTTAAGGCAGTACATGATAACTGTTCTCACAAAATCATTAAGTAAATATGTTTGCAAAAATCTTTCTGATCAATGGTTACTTAAGTACTTCCAGTACCTTACTGCAGCATGTGAATGGATAATATGTATTCTGTATTTTTTTGAGAAGTTAATTGACTGTTTTATGTGTTAGTCATAGTCAAGCACAATTCTGTAAGCCATCTTCACTTAATGTCATATTATTTCACAAGGGAATAAACTACAAGTTTGTAAACATAGTATTCTTAGAGTAAAGATAATTTTAAAACACATTACACTGCATCACCAAGAAAATGTACATATTAACATTATAATAATTTTCATAGTAAAAATAACATCATTAATAGTATAAGATAAATATTGTAATTATTAAAATTTAACCATCCATTAATAATTAAAAATATAAAATAGCTAAGCCATGCTTACCTCTGTATCTACGAATTCAAATTGTGCCTATAGAATTACTTAGTAGTTAAGTTAGTAAATATATATTATTACATCCGAAAGATATATTTTATGATAGAAGTAATAAAGAACTTTTGGAAGATGAATATGTATACTTATAAAAACAAATCATTACTCTATATTGCTTCAGATGACTATGCCTGTTTGTATTTGATCTCATCTAAAATAGGTCTCAATTTTTTACTGCCCTACAACAGACATCCATTCCCTGTAGCTGTAGATAACTTTTCTATTTGAAAGTATATGCAAATACTGCAACCCACGAGAATTAAGATACCCCTGTTTGTAGACTAATAACTACAAAATTGTATCAGACCAATTAATGTACTGTTGAATTTAAAATATATAATCACAATGTCCTATAATGTTGATGGTTTTCTGTAAGAAATGCTTAAGAAAAATAATACAGTAATAATTCAGTTACAGATTCATATTTTTATGCATTTGTATATTATAAACACTGATATTTTTTTAACAATTTAAGAATTCATTATATTATTAATAAGGAATGTGGTTTACATTTATGTCAACATTTTTGTAACTTAATAATAATATTTATCTTCACAATACACAGGGTCCCGACTAGATTCACTTTCAAATTTACAACAAGTATAATGTAACTGTATTATTTTTCATTAACAAATGTAATTTTTAGAGATTTAATATCTGTTAACTCAAGTCTCTAATGTTTAACTACAGTTTAAGTATTGAAATTAGAAACCCAGCTGAACTAAGATATTCTGATTTCTTATTCCTAACATATGTCTTATCCTATAAATTAATAAACTTTTAAAATATACATGACACTGACACCTAACTTATGGCATAATAATATTAAATGAGGATTACATTAATATTCCCCCTAGTTGCCTTGTAAAGCTTCTAGTGACTAAATCTACTCTTGATACCATACAAAAATAAAATTGTCTTAGACAATTAAGCTTTTACATGATAGACATAAACTCTCTTCTCTAAATAACTTTGGAGGTACATTGAACAGCCTTTTGTTTTTTTACTCACATCTGAATTGAATGTGTGTTTATAAATCATTTAATCCACCATTGTTTTGTCCTGCTTTAACTTTATCCAACACTTTATTGACATATTCTGATGTCTTGCCTGCAATTTTTATCTCTGAAAAAAAAAATCCACATTTGTCACTATTCTATATTAATTACTAACAAAACTAAGAATTTTGAACCCAAAATACAACTCACTATTGCAAGTTTGTAAAAAACAACTGAGTGAAAATGACAACAAAATATTTATTATTCATAAAATAGACACAACTCATTTATAAACCACTAAGACAAAAAAAATTACATCATACAATGTATAGCAAGTATATCATTATGTACTTAGATCTTAAATCTTAAAATTAACAACTTTTTTATTCAGTGACAAAATAAATTACAGAAAATAGTTACCTGTAGCTGTGTTTACTATGTTAGTGATGTGTGCATTCCAATCAACATTATTTTGTGAATTAGTCACTCGGCTGCTCACAATTTGTTTCATTTGTGCAATTCCATTCATAAGGCGCCCTGCACAGAGACAATAAATTATCATTAACTGACCATTGAGTACTTTTGCTTATTAGGGCTAAAAAGTCTTGGGATTGGCTTGAGCTGAAGTTTAGATGACATAGACAGTCAATTACTAAAGTATTATATGCTAATGACTTGAAACTTAATATAATTGAATGCCTTAAATTAAGAAAGTCATCATCACAGCTTAATATGCTCTAAACTTTTCTCCTAGAAATATGGCAGACAACTTCTGTTTTTCTTCTTATTTAATTATTATTGTTGATTCTTAACACATTCATTTATAAATACAATCATGACATCAGATGTTATTCAACTACTCATAATAAAAACATCTATTAACTTACTGTGTTCCTGCTCCAAGCCATGTAATTTTAATTTATTTGCTTCATGTTGGGCCTTTTTCTTCAATCTGCAGGCCCGTGAAGCTAGTTTATTTTTCTCTTTTCTAGTTTTGGGTCTAATATTGAATGGAAGTTCACTTACAGGGATCATATCATTTATTATTTTACCTAAACCATCTAATTCTTTTCCAATCAAATACAATTTTCTTGGATTTGGTGTCAAATCATTTCCATCTCCTTTCCTGGCTTTACCACTGTAAATGTAAATGGTAAAATAACTTTCAAAGTAACTGGTGAATTATATTTCATCTACAAAATAGTGTATATTTGTTCTAGTAAATATAAAAATAACTAGATAAGTTTGGCATTCAGTCATTCATCTGACTATATTATTTATTTGCAAAATGTTTGACAAACTCAGGGGACTATTTTAAATAAATAGTTAAAGTTATATGAAACAAATCAAAGATTTGTGGATTAATCAAATCTGCAAAATATCAATTTATAAATTAAAATTATACCTGTGTTTTATGCCTCTAACACTGCAACTAGGGCTAAATACTGGATCAGTCACAGTGTTTAAAACATGTGGGTCTTCTGATTTATTTTTTAAGATAAGCCTCTGTCCCTTTGGTCCTTTAGCCTGTACATTGTATTGCCAAAAGAATCTCTCTTTCTTTGAGCTGCTACGAGATTGTTTGCCTTCTGTTTCGTCATTTGACTCTGCAATAGTCGCAATTATTACATCATTTTAACCAGTTATAAGATAACCTTTGAATATTTGTATTATTGGATTTGACCCACTAACCAATTTTTACTATAAAACTTCCATCGGCATAAAAGAAAGTTTACTTTATTATTATTAAATTTATCATAGTATAATTATTATTACAACATACCATCAGATGAGAGGTCCTCATATCTGTCACTGTCTTCATCAGTTTCAACATCGCGGTCCTCTTCATCTTGTGAAAAGTCGACAGTGCCAGGACTGAGAAGCCCTCCAGACAGAGATGATGCTGATCCTGCTTCAGCTAAGGAGCTGGTAGACAAAAGGTGTTTTCTTGGTTCACGACGCTGCCAAATCTGGAATTTTATTTATTTATTTAACAATATGATTCAGTATAAACTAGTATTAATACATGTTGTGACCATTTTAGAGCAATCTGTCACCTGTTCCATGGTGAGGTGGGTAGGCGCTGAAGAAGAAAGTTGAGGTTGTTGAGGTTTTGCACTGGTTGGGAATGGTGGCAGTACAGTTGATGCCGGAACTGACTGTCCTAGAGCTATTTCACCACTGTAGCCATCCATTCGAAGCAGCAGCTCTGGCATTTGATTCATAGGCTGAGCAAAGCTAGATGATGCTGAGCTGTGCTGGCTTGCTGGCGAAAATGCCAATTGTGCACGACTGTATGGACTACAGGGACTATCTGATTGCAAAATATTATGTGTTTGCATAGTGTTTGGCGCACGACGTGAACCACTCATTGCTCCTCCAATTTGCACACAATAACCACTCTCTTCAGGCAAAAGGAGATCATCAAAATTTAAATCATCCAACAAATTATCTGGATTAGCATTTAGCTCAGCAAGTGTAGGCCCAAGGATCAAATCAGCTTTATCAACTTGGAATATGTCATCATCATCCATTTTGAAACTTTCAGCTTTTGATGTACTGTCTGTTTCAAATACAAGTTTGTTGTATGCCAAATTTGGCATATTGTAAGAACCAACCAAGTTATCTTGCAAACACAGGTCTAGATCAGTGTTAAAGTCCCCGGGATCAACACGGCGCTGTGGGATAGGCACGGAAGCAGACATAGTGCCCGATTCTATCGGAGACTCTTGTTTTATCTCTAGACCTGGCTCAAGAAGAAAGTCATGTGTGTAAATAGAATCCGACATCGCACGTGTTTGTGTCCAGTGACCTTGACGTATAATAGTCTTGTTGATAGAGATTGGCGCACGCGTCTTACGTCTCTATCGATTTATTCACAGTGAAACCCACGTGTTTTGCTTATTTCCCGAACCTTATTTCTTATTAGAACCTACTAAAAGTTTCGAAACAATCATAAACGGATATTTTTATCATAAATACATTGAAATATCTCATCCTTTGGTTACATAACTGTAACAAAACACATCCCTCAAAACAAAATTTGTAAGCACTTGTTATTCACAATGACTTTCGATATCGAAATTAGACAAACAATAGATTCTATCCAATAGAATGCTACACGATTACTAGAGTCAAATCCACTTCATATCTTTGTTACACAAACTTTCAACCACGATATTTGTAAGATTTCACTATTTTAGAATGAAAGAATAGCCACAATAACAAAAACACTGCTGAGATATACGAAGTAAACAAAGATTTTATTATTATTATTCAGCAAATTCAAAGGTCATTGAAACGAGACAGCGCATATATAAATGAGTACGAGTAAAAGAGATACAAACTAAATGTCTAGGCGGAAGTGGAAAGGATCCGCAAACTAGGGATGCGATGTTTCTTGATTATGTCCACTAAATATTTAAATGTTTGCATGTGTCTATGGTTAGTAGATTAATTTCTAGATTTCGAATAATGAAGTATAAATAAGCATTTGTTATTCACAATTGAAACTAGAACCACAAAAGTAGTCACTATTGATTGATATACAACAGTGATAGTCAACAACATTAAAAGCCCTATTTCTAAAATACTGTCAGATTGCCAGCCCTAAATAAAAAACCCTTTTTCACTTCTCTGTCTGAAGGACAAAGATGTCGTAACCAGCTGAACGTCAAAAGTGCAGTGACAACACTAACACTGACAAAATAATACAAGTAATAATCAATTTCTAATATTATGGGCGACGAAAACATAAATTCTAGTAAAAAATGTGATACAAATAAGTGTAATGTATTGATAATTGGCGCCGGCATGGCTGGATTATCTGCCGCCAATTATCTTCTGAATAATGGCATGCAAGACTTTAAAATATTGGAGGCGAGAAAACGGATCGGTGGACGAATAATTTCAATACCAATGAAAAATCAAAACGTTGAACTGGGAGCCAATTGGATTCATGGAGTACTGGGTAATCCAATTTTCGAAATAGCAATGGCCAACAATCTTGTAAATATTATAAACATACCCAAGCCGCACAAGGTTATAGCAGCAACAGAGGATGGAAAACAAGTACCGTTTGGAGTACTTCATGAGATACATGAAGCTTATGTATGTTTTCTAAGACGTTGCGAAGAGTACTTCTTATGTCAGTATTTACCTCCACCTGACATTCACAGTGTTGGTGAACACATCAATTTAGAAGCTACCATTTATCTAGAACGATTACCATCGTCAGAAGAAAAGAAATTGCGAAGACTTATATTCGACTGCCTGCTGAAAAGAGAAACCTGTATATCTGGATGTAACAGTATGGATGAGATAGACCTTCTAGAGTTGGGTAGCTATACTGAGCTTCAAGGTGGAAATATCATGATACCCACAGGTTTCAGCTCTATTTTAGAACCACTTACTAAAAATATTGCCCCTGATAAGATGTTGAGAGATCATGCTGTGAAAAAAATAATTTGGGATTCAGATGAACATAGCTCACAAAGGTCACTAGAAGATATGGGTGAAGAGTCAGAAGACTCTGACCAGACGGTAATTGAAGATATTTCCAAAACACCTGCCACAGATAAAACTGTCAACCCTGGAGAAGGTACATCATTGACTGATGTTACAAGAAAACCAAAGAAAAAGTACCCCAACTATGTTGAAGTAGTATGTGAGAATGGACAAACTTTCTATGCTAACCATGTGATATGTACTATTCCCTTAGGTGTGCTTAAAGAGAGTGCTACAAACTTGTTTGAACCATCTTTACCACAATACAAAATGGAATCACTTGACAGATTATTATTTAGCACTGTAGATAAAATATTCCTAGAATATGATAGACCATTTTTAAATCCAGAGATTACAGAGATTATGTTGTTATGGGAAAATTCACCAACACCTGAGGACATATCTGATTCATGGTATAAAAAAATATACTCATTTAGTAAAGTATCAGAAACCCTATTACTGGGGTGGGTGTCAGGCAAGGAAGCAGAATATATGGAAACACTATCTAACGAAGAAATAATAACTACTTGCACAAAGATACTTAGGAAATTTTTGAATGATCCATTTGTTCCTGAGCCTCAGAAATGTGTCTGGTGAGTTAAATATTGAATACAAAATGGTCATACACATTTTGTAACAGTGTTTTATAATTTTCAAACTTTTATTTTCAGTACAAGTTGGAAAAAGCAGCCTTATACTAAAGGATCATATACAGCTATAGGTGTGGGAGCTAGTCAAAGTGATGTTGAAAGTTTAGCACAACCATTATTCAGAAATGTACATGATAAAAAGGTAATTTGTATTATTATCTGACTATGTAGTAATTATTTAATGCACTATTTGTACTATAGATTTAATTTACACAGGAAATTAAAATGTTGACTTGACAACATGAAAATTGTAGCACATGCATGAACCATATTTTTGAAAATGAATAAAATAGTAATTAATTGACTAAGTTGCTACAACTAGTAATAATGCCTTAAGTACTTTAATTATCTACAAACTTTTTGTTATTATCTAGACTTAAAGATAATACAAAAATGTGCTTGCTCAGACTCCTCTAACAAAATGATAAATTAATTTTACTGTTGATAAATTATTACATACATGAAGCCATTGATAAATAAAAATAAATGAAGTGAGATATGAGAACTATGATTAAAAAATTGGAATGCTTGATAAATAATAGTGGAAAGTCATATAATTTTCATTTTTGCTGTCAGCATTAGTCCAAAAATATCATTCTGTTATAATTAATAACTAAGCAATTATTATATTGGTCAATGTAAGTAATAGGTGATGAGAACATCTTTAAATAAATACAGATAAAAATATCATTACGACATCTAATTTTTTCAGCCTGTCTTGCTCTTTGCTGGAGAGCACACACACAGCAGTTTCTATTCTACCGCACACGGGGCATATCTATCAGGCCAAATAGCTGCTAGGCGCTTGCTGGCTCCAGATGAGCCAGAGGAAAACTTCATTGAATGTCCTACTTCATCAGACTTGAGCTCATGGATTCAAGGAATACAGCTTGAGGGCTAGTTATATTTCAAATGGTATGTAGAAAAAGAAAGCTTCATAATTATGATGCACAGTGCCTAGGTACAATATTATGCTCTCATTGTATTTACCCATTAAATGACAGAGGCTTTGCCTAGTTTACTCATAAGAATTGTGATTTTGTTTAATATTGCTGTTATTAGGAAATAGTTTAGCCATTATTGTATAATAATTATTTCTGCTATTAGATATAAAGTGATCTTATTATTTATTTAATACATTTAACTTTAAAAGTACTATATTTGTTATTTCTTCAAAGAAATTAAAATTCATAGCTCTCTTAAACATTTTTAAAACCGCACTTATACAGTACAAGATTTTTGTATTTTTTTGGCCATGATATGCATAAACTTATTGAAAAAATGAATGAAATGTTAAACAATAATGAACAAAAAGATAACCAAATGTAGTTTGATTGAAATATATGTTTTTCTCATGTGATTTATTGGAGAATAGCTCTATTTTAAAACATACCAGGGCTCATATAATGTCACAACCATCTACAAAAATCGAAAAGTACAAAATAAAGACAGCAAACGAAACATTGAAATAAATTTTGTAATATCTACTAACCGTGGTACTAACATAGGTCTCAAAAAATCTGTCAATCTATTTCTCAGATGGGCCACCCATTGATAATTACGTTAATATTATCTTTTAAAAGATAAGCAACCTATTTTTAATAGACTACAAAAAGTTGCTCTGATCCTTCTAAATACAGCATTATGTTAACTATATCAATGAGAAATTATTTGTTTAAAATTCTATCTTTTTTTGTAAAGCAAGATAAGCTAGGAAGGTAAACAAGAATTTATTATCAAATTATTCAGAACTACTATATTCCTATTCCAAATCATCAGATTGAAAGAGAAGAAAACTAAAGTTCCCACTTATGATTTTTCAAAACAAACCACTATGATAATAATATTGTAGGTTAATTGAATATCAGTGTGGATAAGGGCTAAATATCTGATACACAAATATACAAGCTAGTAGTCAAATTACACAAGTGGTTTACTGTACTTTAAGAAAAACACATTCCTCATCACTTCTGTCTGTCTTTTTGCAAAGTTATCGACTTCGCACGATTAAATTAATTATTAATGACGATACGCAAAATTAATTATAAATATGCATCGGCACCTGTACAGGTTATATATACATCATGCTCAATTTCTTTTTATTATGCTGGGTAATATTATTTTATCTACATAAACAAAAAAGTCTTATCAGAGATGTACTAGGCTGTCTTAGAAATGTGATCATCACTGTTAACCGAGAGTTGCTACCAAAGATGTTTGTAGACCTCTTGTATGTGGGATGACATTAGTGTTTGACTCTCCAGTATATTGGACATTAGACATTTGGTTTGTTTGTTTATTTATATGAAAATAAGATGAAACCAAGAGGACCTAACAATTTTATTATTATTGCAACATGACCTTTGAGTTGATCATCCAAAGTGAAATAAAGTTGTTGCAATATTATAGTATTATTTATTTTTAATATATAATCTTTGAATTATGAAGATGAAAAAAGATGAAAAAAAAGATATGGCGATAAACCTATTGAAATATCAGAAAGAAAAAGTGTCCAAGCAAGCAATGCAGATTGGGATGTACATTATTATACCAGCTCGTAGCTAATGTTCAGATGCTGTGAGTTGGAAGTTGATGCCTAATCTTGGGTTTAAATGTTTTTTTTATAATTGTTTGATTTTATGTAAATAGATAAAATAAATTAGGAATTCTGGTCAAAAGAATGAGATTGGAAATATTAAAAAGTTGCATTATATTGCAAACAAAATTAACAATTTTAAGAGTGTACCTACCCTAGCAATTACTGTTATCTAAAGCATTTTCCGATTTTAGACTATTAATTATTATTTAGGATACATAATATTCGATTTTTCTAGTCAATGCAATGTTTTTTTATCGCTTTAATAAATCATCAAATAAAATTTGTTGTTTTAATTGCCCTAAACCTTTTACAATGCAAAGCCAAAAAAAATTTCATAAACATTTTATTACACTAGTAAATAAACAGGTATAGAAAGATTTTCTGTATAAAAAATAACAAAAAAAAATACAATAAGAATAAAGCTTTAAAATCTTACATAACCAGCTGGCTATGTAATGTAGACATACAATAAATAATATTAAAATATGAGTAATGTAAACAACATAATAACATTTTTGTTAAATTCTTTTCATTCATTTTATAAAAACAAATGTGCTTGGTTAAGTAGCTCTTATAACCTACTGCTAAGACAAAAATTGTAACCAACAAGAAAACACTGCTGAAGCTAAGAATAATACACTTATGTGGCTACAACCAATCTATTTCAATATTTTGTCGATAATTTTAATAAGAATATTATTATGTAATTTTAATCCCTTGGTCAAGCAAATATTCAAGTAGGTACAGGTACTAGAAGATAAAATTATCTGATCTTTGTTAGTAGGTTAATAACAACTATCATATATTAATAAAACCATGGAATGCCACCATTGTAAGGTTATCAAATTAAATACAAAGAATACTGAGTAGTCTGCTTATGAATAAATACCAATTACAATATACTTTTTTCATGATTAAATAAGTTTTAATACTATATTAAAAATTTAAAATAATCAGATCCATATTTTACTAGTCTTGTAAGGATTGTGGTGTCTTTCCAATAAAATATTGTTAGAGCAAGAGTATTGCGACCTTTTTTTAATCTCTATGCATTTTATGATAGTATTTTGAATTTTCTTTTTTTGAGTTGACAAGAGAACGTCAAGTAATAAATATGTGTTCTGCCAAGTGTGTTTTTACTAATATCCTATAATATATCTTTATGAATTTTTCTTCCAAGAGCTACTCTGTGAAGGAGTGTACCTACGTAGTATCACACTCCTTCAGGTTATGATCACCAGCGGAAATAGAAAGTACGATCATGAATAACTCTGGGAGCAGCGGCAATGGTACGCATATACAATCACAATCGTATCCATCCCAAGGAGTAAGTATGAGTTTACCAGCAATAGAGAAACTTGATGGTAGTACTGATTATAATACATGGAAGTTCATGATGGAACTTTATCTAATTCATGAAGACTTGTGGGAATACACTCAAACAACACCAGCTGCTAGTGATGTTTCCGGCTCTAAAAGAGATCAGAAAGCGAGGGCAAAAATCTGTTTAATGATTAAACCACATTGTTTGATACACGTACGTGAATCGAAGACTGCAAAAGCGGCATGGGATGCCCTGAAGACTGCCTTTGAAGACAAGGGCCTGAATAATCGATGCAGACTTCTTACAAAGTTGGTGAGCCTGAAACTAGAGCAATTTTCTTCAATCAGAGACTACATAACTGCCATAATGACAGTAGCGCAACAGCTACGTGATCTGGGCAAAAAGGTAGATGATGAATTACTTGCAGCGTTGATGCTACAGGGGTTGACAGAGACTTTCCAACCCATGAGGTTAGCAATAGAAAACACAAACATAGAATTGACTACAGATTACGTCAAAACGAAATTACTTCAGATGGAGGATACTTATCAAGCAAGTCCTAGTACCGTGACAACCGCATTACAAGCTAAAAATAAAAGTCAGAAAGATAAGTCACACAAGAATATGAGTAGATCACGTGTCGTTAAGTGCTTCATATGCAAAGAGAACCATAAGGCTAAGGATTGTCCGAAAAACCCTATTCAAAAGAAGGATGCCTTAACCTCATTAGCGTTAGCAACAGCAGCACAAGGACATGGAGAATGGATTCTCGACTCCGGAGCTTCTAACCACATGACAAATCGGAGAGATTGGCTTAAAGACTTTAAGAAATTAGACAAATCAATTGTAATAGCTTGTGCAAATGGAGAAACTGTGGTTGGTGAAGCAATTGGTAATGTAGTCAACGAGGATATGGACGTCTCAATTAATAATGTTTTGTATGTACCTAACTTAGCTACAAATTTACTCAGTGTTAGCACAATTGTAAATAAAAACCTTGTAGTTGTATTTGAGAAATCTGGCTTTAAGATAATCAAAGCAGATGGATGTAAGGTTTCCGGGGAGACCTTGTATGAAGGTACTGCAAATAACGGTGTCTATAAAATACAGTATTGTTCACAGGAAGTAGGTCTAGCTTCAACCGCTGCTGACGAAATAATATTGTGGCATAGGCGAATGGGACATCTAGGGGTACGGAACCTAATGTTACTTAAAAACAAAATGGCAGATGGGGTAAGTTTTTCTAATACTGCTTCTAAGCTAGAGTGCGAAGCGTGTGCAGTAGGAAAACAGACCAAGAACCCTTTCAAGAAAACTGGTGCCACTAGGGCAAGTGAGGTCTTAGGGTTAGTCCACACAGACGTGTGCGGACCCATGAGAGAGAAGTCGTACGGAGGCTCACGATATTTTCTCACATTCATTGATGATTTCACTAGAAAAACATTTGTATATTTCTTGAAAAGTAAAGGAGAGGTCTTTGAGAAGTTTGCCGAATTCGTAAAACTTACTGAACGTCAAACTGGAAAGAAATTTAAAATTATCAGATCTGATAATGGCAAAGAGTTTGTCAATAAGCGTATGGATGAGTTCTGTAAAGCAAAAGGGATCTGTCACCAACTGACAATAGAGTATACACCCGAACAAAACGGAGTTGCTGAGCGAGCTAACAGAACTATCACTGAAAAAGCCAGGACAATGTTAGAAGAAGCTGGTTTAGGCAGAAAATTGTGGGCAGAGGCAGTCAACACCGCCGTGTATTTAAAAAATAGGTCTCCAACTAAAGCCTTGAGAAACAAAACGCCCGAAGAAGCTTGGACTGGAAGAAAAGTGAACTTAAGCCACCTCAGAGTGTTTGGATGTAAAGCTTATCTTCATGTTCCAGATCAGAAGCGCACAAAATGGGATCCTAAGGGCACAGAGTTAGTCCATGTTGGATATGGCGAAAACGGTTATCGCCTTATTAACCCTACGACAGGAGTGTTGCACAGAGGTAGAGATGTTATATTTTTTGAAAACTCAAAAGTACAGCTACGTGCTCCCGTTAATCAAGCCGTCCCGCTACCGCTGACGGATGTTACGGTTGAGTATGATAGAGTTTCAACTCATCATGAAGAGCCAGAAATTCCTGAAGAACCTGGAAATCCAGCTCTTGAGAATGTTGAGGTTGAAGATGAGGTTTGGGAATCATCTGACGAGGGGAATGAAGCAGATCCTGAGGATGGTCTTGTAGAAGAAGGTAGAGAGCTACCAGTAAATGACAATGGGCCATCAGATAGAAGATATCCGCTTCGAGAAAGAATACCAAAAGCATATCCAGATTTTGTAACTTACCAAGCAGTCAAGACATCGCCAGACCCTTTAACTGTTCAGGATGCATTATCTAGAGAAGATGGAGACAAATGGAAAGCCGCAATTGAGGAGGAGCTGAGAGCCCTCGAGAAGAATAAAACTTGGACGTTGGTGAAGCAGCCAAAGTCGTGCAACATTGTTGATTCGAAATGGTTATTTCGAATTAAAGAAGAGGCGGGGGGAAAGACTCGTTATAAGGCACGACTTGTAGCAAGAGGATTCAGCCAACGGAGAGGAGTCGACTACTTTGAAACTTTTTCGCCTGTAGTCAGACATAGCTCATTAAGAGTCTTAATAGCCTTAGCCGCCCGTTTAGAGTTAGGCATAGATCAAATGGACGTTAAAACGGCATTTTTGAATGGAGACTTAAATGAAATCGTCTATATGAAGCAACCAGAGGGGTTCGAGGTAAAGGGCAAGGAGAATTATGTCTGTCTTCTAAAAAAATCTTTGTATGGACTGAAACAAGCGCCACGAGCGTGGAACGCAAAGCTTCACTCTGAACTTATAAGACTGAAGTTCAGAAGATCTGAAAATGAGCCATGCGTTTACACCCGGTCACAGAATGGAAACATAATGATTATTGCTGTGTATGTAGATGACATTTTGATATTTTGGAACAATAAGCAAGAGATGTTCAAATTCAAAGAAGAGTTGAAGTCTAGATTTGATATGAAAGATCTCGGCAAAGCTGAGTTAATGCTGGGAATTAATATTGTTCAAGATGTCAACAAAATTAAACTGCATCAGGAGAAGTATATTGATGGACTCCTGAAGGCATTTAATATGGAAGACTGCAAACCAGTAGTTACACCAGCAGTACCCGGTCAACGGCTAGAGAAGCCTACACATGGAAGGAGACCAGATGAGAGAATTCCATATCGAGCACTGATAGGTTCGCTCATGTATGTAGCAGTATGTACAAGGCCTGACATTGCTCATGTGGTTAATTATCTTAGCCAGTTCAATGAATGCTATGAGGAACAACATTGGATTGTAGCAAAGCGAATCCTCCGTTACCTGAAAGGAAGCAAGACGCTTGGGTTGACATACAACAAACAAAAATACCCAGAAGTTGTTGTTGGTTACGCGGATGCCGATTATGCAGGAGACGCTGATCGACGTTCATATTCAGGTTCCGTGTTCCTTATTCAAGGAGGTGCAGTTTCTTGGCAAAGCACGAAACAACGAACGGTGGCTATGAGCACAGCCGAAGCAGAATACGTGTCGCTATCAGAAGCTGCAAAAGAAGCTGTCTTTCTCAAAAGGCTGATTGCAGAGATGACTGGTAAACAGGAAGAAACAATTCGGATTTTCTCAGACAGCCAGTCAGCAATTGCTATAGCCAATAATCCTGTACATCACCAACGTACAAAACATGTTGATGTGAGATATCATTTTATACGCAATGCTGTTGAGTCGGGAGCTATAAAATTGGAGTATCGGGAAACAGATAAGATGGTAGCAGATGCTCTGACCAAGGCTCTCCCCAGAGGCAAGTATGAGTGGTGTGTGAATGGTATGGGATTGCGTGTATAAAGTAAAGATGTGTGTGTACATATCATATGCATGAGATTAAGGAGGAGTGTTAGAGCAAGAGTATTGCGACCTTTTTTTAATCTCTATGCATTTTATGATAGTATTTTGAATTTTCTTTTTTTGAGTTGACAAGAGAACGTCAAGTAATAAATATGTGTTCTGCCAAGTGTGTTTTTACTAATATCCTATAATATATCTTTATGAATTTTTCTTCCAAGAGCTACTCTGTGAAGGAGTGTACCTACGTAGTATCACACTCCTTCAAATATTACTGTAATATTTTGTTGTTATTATTATAATGTCAATTTTTAAGCCACTAAATGTCTGCTAGTGTAAACAAATCAACTCATGCTTTTGTGTCATTTACTCCATTATGTGTACACAAGTTAATTGCCTCCATTTGTAAAAATTTGTAAGCTCAGGGTAAATCACATTAGAAATTGTTGCCAAGCCAATTTTAATATGTTCAGAAGTTATTTGATCAGAAAAAATCTCTGCTTATTTATAACAGATCTAACATACTTTCATTATTTAACCTAAGTATAATTAAATGCCTAAATTATTGGACGGATAAACCTCTTAAGTACAATAACAATTGAAGAACACAGTACAGATACAATATTTATAAAAAATATTTAAAATTAATTGTCATGATTTGATAAATATATGTATAAAGTGCTGACAGATACATATCAATATTATCAATACCAAATAAAATAAAAAATGGATTTTTTCTTGTACTTAACAAATGGCCAATATCCTAATGATCTTGATATAAGTTATGTGACTCCTTTAAAAAAGTACCAAATTGATAAATAGTCTTGTACCTGTAAACACTTTAAACATGTAGGTGTTAACGAACAACATGTAGCTCTACCAAAGAATTTTTTGTTGTAATAATTGAGAGCAATCTACTTTCATCACCAGGGGCAACCTCCTGCCAGACACATTTTCCAATGAGGGGCACTTCTTCAAGAGGTGCCCTGAAAGCAACAAGTAGAGTAAGGCAGCAACCATCAGCTATGGGGTCATGTTCTAGGTTCAATAACCCAAGAGGCCTATGCTGACCTACATCAGCCCCAAACATTTCAACCATAAATCTCCTCAATGTAGAATGTATGCTTTTACCTGGATTTATTTCACATGTTGGAAAATGTATTGCAGTTTTCTCACTCAAAAGTACATGCAACTTATTAGTACTCCTCTTTTTTATTACCACAACCAGTCTTAATAAATCTTTGACATGATGAATGGGTGCAGGCAAGATTTCTTTATGCCAATGACTGCTAGGACTTCTATTATTATATGACTGTGCTTTTTCAATGAGATGTAAAATATCATTAGATCTTAATGAGATTTCCTGAAGATTGGATATCCACTTAGCTTGCAGTGATTCTTTGTCTGCTCTAGCGGGTGTTTTCAATTCACCACCAATGACTTCACCTGTTAAAACAAATCTGTACCACATTCCGCCAGCAGTCTCAACCACTAACAATGTGGTTGGTGTACAAATAAGTCCTGTTTCTTCAAGTACCTCTCTGGCTGCAGCCTGCACAATAGTTTCACCTTTTTCCATTCGACCTGCTGGTAGATACCACTTGCCTGCACAACTCTCTTTTGCTTCTTGCATCATTAGTACTTCATTTGATTTGTTTATGATCACACAAGCTACAACGTAAGTGACGTTGCTGCCCAGTACCGGTTTGAAATTAGAAGGAGTGGTAGGTGTGATACCTTGAGACTCGGCAACGCAATTTTGATCAGCAATAGTAAAATCGCAGATGGTATTATCATCACCATCTAAACCCAGACCATCAAGTAATTTATTTACATTTAAGTCTACTTGGCGCGACATAATTACCTATTTTCTTAAATCCCTTTTCTTGCGTTTAATTCAACACTATCTTTATTATTATTTTTATTTCATAGAAGTACTTCTAATTAATTTATAACTATTATGATTATTTTTTCGAATGAGCGTGATTTGTATGTATTGGAATTTTGTAGTACGTTGACGAATGACGACACCAACACGACGTGACGATGAAAACGATTGACCAACGATTGACGGGTATAAAAACCTATCTTTTTGATTACCTACATTCACTTTTACGTCATTCATAGATAGTATGCCCTGTATGAAAAATTCCAAGTTCATTATTTCTACGTAAATCCAAGAAAAGAATAAAACTTAAATGATATTTTGTTGTTATAACTAAAACTTGATAATAATGTATGACCATAAAAAGTTATTAAAATAATTACCCAAGTTTAGTAGTGAATCTGATGTAACAACAGGTGTGACATGGTGAGCTAAAAATATTATATAAAGATAATATATATACAACTTGTCTATGTATTGTATGTATATGTGTAATTCAGGTTCTTAGATTTTAAAACATACATATTCAAGTTGCAAATAACACAATATGTATATTGAACAAGTTACTATACCACTCACAAACGTGTGCTGCACTAAGCGTTAAAAAGATATATTTTTTCAAGAATGGCAACATTTTTGTGTGTCAATGTCACTGTAATCTTTCAATTTGACTTTTGACAGGTTCTGGGACGAAAAAGTGACCGATCGAAGCCTCTGGTGCCTGCCCTTCACGTATAAATTAACTAAGCTAAAAGTTAATCTCACTTTTTCCTATATCATAATGTCGGTCACAAAGGGAAACATGCTGGTGAATGTTTATAAAGCTTAATAAGTTATAAAATGCTTTTATTAATTTGAAAATATAAGTTACGTAATATTTTGTAGGTTCGTTCCTTGAGCACGTCGGCTGCGGCAAGCCAACTTGTTAAAGCTCCTGTGCAAGTTTTTGGTTTGGAAGGTAGATACGCATCTGCTTTATATTCCGCTGCTACCAAGAACAAGACCCTGGATGCCGTCGAGAAAGAGCTGTCTCAGTTCCAGCAGTCAATTAAGACTGATGCTAAACTGAAAGAATTCATTGTGAACCCAACTCTTAAGAGAAATCTTAAGGCTGATGCTCTTAGACAAGTTGCCACTCAAGTGAGTATACTTATTTACAACTTAGCATTATTCAATATTCTGTACATGTACACAAATAGTTGTTTTTTTTTATAATTTTTATATTGAAGTTCATTTCTAATTCGATTTGTATTTCTATCGATTGTAGTGGTGACTTTTATTTAGTTAAAAATAATTAATCATCAAACCCCACGCGTACACCTACTTTCACACACCTATTGTGCTTTTATTGTGTCTCGAATTACCATGATTGAAAGGTTAGTTGTAATAAAAATTAAAAACATAGATTCCTTACACACCACACATGGAACACCATTCCAGCTATATAATATATAATAAATTAATAAAAATAATTTTACATTTGTTAGTATTTACCCTGGAATTGAACAATGCTAGATCAAAATAATTATGTGACAACATTTTTACATTAATGTATCAACTATAAGTATAGGGATTTTCAAACATTAACTCATATGGAGAAATGCACTAATTAAAAGAGCTATGATGGAACCCATTGATTTGCTTCCCCAGTGGTATACAGGTGAGATAAAGCTATGTGTATTTTTATTTTATGCAAACATCATTTCAGGCCAAATTGTCTCCTACAACAAGCAACTTGTTGGGTCTCATGGCTGAGAATGGTCGCCTGGACAAGCTTGAGGCTGTTATCAACGCATTTAAGATCATGATGTCTGCTCACCGTGGTGAGGTTACTTGTGAGGTTGTTACTGCCAAGCCCCTTGACCAGACCCAGAGGCAGAACCTGGAAGCTGCTCTCAAGGTAATAAATTACGAATATGATAATTTGAACTAAATAAACACCAACTTGGCTACCTTTAAAAAATGCATGGATGACAACTTATTTTCCTGGTATTAACATGTTGGAAAATCAGGTTTGAAGCTAAAGTGTAATTTTAAGACTCATTCAACTTTCAAAATGAATGAAATATATCAATTTTGTTGTGGTAGGTATAAATCTAAAATTAAGCTTTTGAAGTACCTTTTCAATGAAATTTAATATCTAAGAAAATTTAAAATGTGAATTATACAATTAAAAATATGTAAAATTTTCCAGAAATTCCTGAAAGCCAATGAAACTCTCCAGCTCACAGCCAAAGTTGATCCATCTCTGATGGGTGGCATGGTTGTCTCCATCGGTGACAAGTATGTCGACATGAGTGTTGCCAGCAAAGTGAAGAAATACACCGAACTCATCAGTACCGCCGTTTAAATCATGCAATAATGGAACTGTAAATGTTTAGTGCAAAGAGTAATACTATTATTTAAATCAGTTAAATCATTAGATATACTTGTTTTATTTTAAATTACCCTTAGCTGCTATTATGACACCACTATCTGATTAGTGATTTTCACTACATATATTTTATCATATCAAACTGTAACTACTAGAGAACACATTGATAGGCATGCCAATTTGCCAAGAGAGTCACCTACTATGATACGCTTGTAAAGGCCCGTTTTCAAAGAATCATATTATGCAGGATCTAAGTGCAAATACTATCCAAAACCTCTCTATAGAGTGGATATGGAATGCCTATGCATAAAGTGAATCGCCGTTGGTTTTTAATCAGCGTTACTGAGGAGTGAAATTCTCTATCTAATTTATCTATATTTACTTCCCTGCAAAATTAATAAATTCAATTAACAAAATAAAAGTCCACAAATATGAAACTTGCATCTTTATCCGTTTTTATTGGAAAGGCCTTGCAGCTTAGGAAAAATATCAACAATGGAAGACTGGTTTGAATGTAATTAAATGGTTTATAAAATTAGCTTTCAGCCTGTGAAAAATACATATTTCACTACAGGAAAATTAAAAATGAAATGGATAAAAGCAAGCTATGTTGTATTTTTAAATCAGCTCAGTAGTTTTATGAGCATATGTAAATAAACAATAATATTTATAATAAGTTTGTATAGATGGGTCACAATAAAACAAAGATATTATAAATTGAACAAAAAATTTAATAGTGCTTCTTTCACTGCCAAATTAAATATACTTATAACAAAATATTACTCTCACAGTAATCATAACACTAAGTTATATTTCTCTAGAATTAACAAGAATATTTTTATTTGAGATCATATTGAGGAGATCTTTAATTGAACATCGTATATTAGGTATGTAGATAATTAATTAATAATGAGCAAAATTATCCTTCCGTTGGCGCAGCTTCACCCCTAAGAAGAGCATTTTCAGCCTCCAGTTCCGCAATACGGGCTCTTGCAGCCTCTAGTTCATCATCTCCACCGTCAGTGCCTAAATGTTTTCTAACGTATTCTAAAGCATCTTCCGGCTTATCAGGTTCTTCATACAAGCTCACAAGAACTTTCGTTAAAGCATCCATTACACCGGCGCGCTCAAGATATCTTCTGAATTCCTCTCTTTTGGAATCAATAGGCTAAAAATAAAAAATAACGTAAGTTTGGTTTTAGTCGTATGTTTAAACATAATAATGTCATTTTCAGTAACAAATCTAGGTGTGTTAAATGTACAACTGATTTTTATGCGAATTACATGTAAATTTTTATGCGAATACTAATGTTAATCGTAATTTAACTTACTTTATACGAAGACATTCTTATAAACGACTAGAACCTGGGAAGAATACGAAAAAAAAACAGCTTTACTCCTAAGAATTGCAAAAAAACGTACGAGTTGATGTTTGATTGCTGAAATGCAGTGTTACCAACTCTCAAAAATATTTATCCCTAAAATTGGTGACAAAAACCCCTAAAATCGCCCTAATTCTTATGTTTTCCCCCTAAAAAATACACAAATATAAATTCATAACGATTTATTAAAAATGTTTTTATTGAAAGTAATTTAACACATTAAAATTTCATCTTCATCTGAAGATTCAGATTTTTTAAAATTATACATGTTAACATTCATTAAGTTTAACATTTTATTGGATGGATTAAAAGTTACACAAGATTCATCATTTCGATTTAATGTAAATCGGACCATCAGGATGCTTTCCAACATTTTAATAGATTGTCTATTCCGTAACATATTTTTAACGATACTTATTATAGATAGAGAATGCACTGGCGTTTTAAATTGGAACAGTGACAAATGCTAATCCGAATTTTGAAATATTTTAAAAACGTTTACAGCCAGCTGCGTCACAATCATTATAAACCTCAAAGAAAAAATCAGCTGAAGAAGAGGTAGTCCATTTTTTATTACTCAATTGGTGCCACTCAGATTCAATGTCATTTTTCACATAGAAAGAAATAAATATTAATATTATAATTTCAAAAATAATAAAGAATCAAAAAATCCCTGAAAATAACCCTAAAAATTTCAGACCCCTAAAAAAATCCCATCTCACTTATTTACCCCCTAAATCTGAGGGGAAAACCCCTAAGTTGGGAACACTGCTGAAATGACAACTACTACACACTCATTTTCTCGCCCTAGATTTAGTTTTTAATAGGTCCTGTTGTGTTTTCCTCGACAAAGGCTTAATTTAGACAGTTTTGATTTAATATTAATATCTATATAGTAATAAACGTATTTTTAAAATGACAAAAATAAATACTATTCTTATCGCATTCGCAATGGTCTATTTTTTTAGTTTGTCTATATTTTCTTGATTGAATCTCAAAGTGTCGATGTAAAAGAACTTAAAACAAATTTTTTTTTTTGGAGTTTATGGCCTGGATACGAGTCCTTTAAGCCATACTTAAAACAAAAAAAGACCATTAATGTTGCCATGGTAGTAAAAATATATACCCCCATTATTTCTTTTCATGCCAAGCCAATAACACTATCTATACGGCTGCGAACGGTCATTTATAGAGAGGTGTATATTTCTTTCTTTGTAAAATAAGATCGTTTTGTTCAGAGTAAATTGAATGTACTAAAAGTCCTGTTGAGGCTGCATCGTCGAAATTGTTAAATATAACTTTGGTTAAAAATAAATTCCCTTATCCTTTGCTCAGTAGTTTATAGTAGAAGCTTACAAATCTAATTACCCAGTTCCACTTGGAAATCAGAGTACAGATTTCAACTATGATTCCAGTGTAGCATGAAAGAAAACCTCGGGTTTGATAGAACTTAATAATTTAGTATTTAAAACACCATATAAGTTAAAATATTTTTATTATTAGTAATGTGTTCATGACATTATGGTGAATGATAGCTTTGTAGAAAGTATAATATTTATGAAGTGCACAAATTTTATTTGAATTTCAATTACAATGCAAAAGAAATCTTCACAACAAACAAAAGAAAAAAAGAATTAGACCTTTATATATTTCGAAACATATGTACCTATGTTTAAATTAAATGAAGTATTATGAAGCTTTATTTTATTCTAAAATCTTAAAATAAAATACTTTGCGAGTTAATATTATTTGCGATCTATTGCATTAAAAATTAAGATTCATCATCACTTCCAGCTGGTGCTTTTGGTTTTGGTCCTCCTGCTCTCTTAGCCATAATGATTTGGTCGACTTTAAGGATAGTTGCAGCTGCACCAACAGCATATTTGAGACCCCAATACTTCAGGACATAGAGATCCAGTATATTCTTTTCTTTAGCATCACATACACCATTGTTTTCAGATTCAATGTCATATCCTGCATTTTTGTTACCCTCCTGAAAATGGGCAGATGCACATTCAATATTAGTTGTGTCTTAATAAACTTATTAACAATACAAATAGGAAAATAAAAGTATAATGCCAACCTTGTGGGCTTTGTAGATGTTATTTACAACTTCTGTAGCATTTGCTCCGGAATTATCTGCTAAGGCACGAGGGATGCTTTCCAAAGCTACTGCAAACTTCCGAACTGCATACTGTTCTAAACCTGGCAGTGTATCTGCGTACTGAAGGAGTTGTTCCGCCAACTCAATTTCTGTGGCTCCGGCACCAGGTAAAAATCTGGAATGAAGTAGAAAATTATTTTATTATAAAAATAGTATTGATAAAAGTTTTATTCTCACCATAAATTCTTTATAAAATAAAATAAAAGTATTTTATAAATATCTACGACTTACTTTCCATCTCTAGCAATTCCTTTGAATGTATTGACACCATCATCAATAGCTCTCTCAATATCATCCATATAGTTGTCAGTGGATCCTCTGATGACAACTGTAGAGATCCGTGATTCTGAGCTCTCCATACGGAAGCAAACAACACGAGTGTCTCCTAATTCTTCAACACCAATGGAGTCACAATATCCCAACTCTTCAGCAGTGGGAGTTGTTAGTCTTGGCAGCACCTTAGAATACAAGTTGTAAAGTAGATATTTTATACTGTAGTAAACATATACAACTTTATTACTTCTAATTATTTACTATTCTAGTTAGGTACTTGTAAATAAAGCCTTTCTTAATCTAAAATATATACTTACAGTAGCATTAACAGTCTTGGCAAGCCGGCGGATGTCAAATTTAGAGTTGAGACGAACAGCCATTACACCATATTTGTTTAAGAAATGTAAAGCCATATCTCCAAATTTAGCACCAGCAACAACAACTTTAACTCCAGCATCAGCAATATCCTTAATTTGTTTCTCCAGTTGAGACTCTTCTCCTCTACTGAAGTTAAGAAGTTCATCAGCTGATTTTATCAAAACTGTTCCCTTAGTTTCTGTTTGTGTGATATCTACTGGGCAGGAGTACACTGCAACTTTAGCATTTGTTGCAGAAGAGACATCACCTTCAACCTCACGCTTGAAAACCATTCCTGAGAGGACTTCGGATTGCAAGAGTCCTGACCCCAGAATCTGTTACAAAAAGTATTATATATTAAGTAACATACTCATTTTATTAAAATATTAATAGCATAATACTAGAACAAATAATAGCTTGTTACATACCTTGCATATTCTCACATTATCTACATTGAATGTAGTTTTCTCAGGAAGGATGGCGATACATGCTTTTGCAACCAGTGAAGCTATAAAATCTTCATATCCATACTGCTTAGACATTATTGAGGGAGTGATTCCTTTGGTTACCGCATCAATGTTTTTGCAATCTTTAATTTCTTCACATACAAGTCCAGGAAGAATTTCCAAGCATTTCTCAAGAGCTTTCTCATAACCATCAGCAATTTCACTTGGTGTTACACCCAAACGCAACAGCTCTTCTGCTGCTTCCAGAAGGGCACCAGAAAAGACTATAACAAAGTTAGTTCCATCACCAACTTCAGAGTCCTGCATCTGACTGGCTAAAACCATAAGTTTTGCAGCTGGGTGTTCTACATCCAGTTCTCTAATGATGGTACCAGCATCACTTGTCACAAATTGTTTATCAATGTGGTTGATAATCATTTTGTTCATTCCATTAGGACCATAGGCGGAGCGTACACTTTGGGCGAATTGTTTACAGGCATTTATGTTACGGTAGACTGCCTCTTCTAAGCCAGAGAACATCTAAGAAGAGAAGAAAACAAAATCAGATGAGCAATGAGCATTTATCATTTTGTAATAAAATTGATTGATAATAAATGTTTGATTTGATAAATAAAGTGCAGTAGGTAAGTAGTAGTGAAATGTAAGACATGAAGCTAACCACTTTCGTTTCTTTTAATATACTTTGAACTTTTAAGAAATTTCTAGCTAGAATTTGTTGATGTACAAAAATTGAAATTTGAGTTAAACTCGAAGTTTTTTAAACAATATCATATAGTTTTGGCACCAAACGCTACGTTTTACAAAAAATTGAACTGTTTTATTAAAAAATAATAAAGTTATAATAGGAATTTAAAACATATGAAGGCCCGGAGTGGGCGAAATGAAATTGTTGGTTATGTATTGATAAACTTACCCGTGCGCCTTCTTTTAACATCTGGGGTACCCCAGGAGCCTTCGGTACGTGTAAAGCCATGTTTTTAGAAACTTAAAAGCACTTTTGAAACAGAAAACTTATCTTGGTTTCCTCGTGATCTGTAGAAGTAGGTACTCCAAAGAAATCACGAAGGCATGAACGAACAATGAAAACCGGGCGCAGTGTTGACAGATGAAAAAAAAAACAACAGATTTAAATGAAATGATTCACGACTGTGTATAGTGTTGGGTTTTAACCAAATAAATACTCAAAATTGATGAAAAAATGTTCTAATGCAATTTTAATCAAATATTCATTCAAAAGAGTGGATAAATAGTGTCTTTATTTTAATTTCGTTATTTGAAGGACATTTTGTTAATTTTTTGGTTTCACTATTTACTGCATGTAGTAGGTAGTAGTAGTATTTCAATGTAGTCCGCGAAACTTAGACTGTTCTACTCGAACATTTTTGCCGTTGCCTTAACTCAGAAAAGGTTTAAATGTTTGAATGGTTGTCGAGACTCTAGCCCACCCAGAAACATTTGAGGTTGAACCTGGCTGACCATTGGACATAATTAATTATTATAGGCGTCTGCGCCTTAGTTGATATGTGACAACCTTGAGACGGACGACTGTTCTCACTAACATTAGACACCTACAATTTTATGAAAACCACAAGGAGTCTTCACGGGGATTGCATTTGTGTAAACTTCGACAGCTCCTAACAGTAGGATGTACTTTTTTACCGCTGGCTCCTTAATACCATTCAGTATTTTTTATCGCCTAGCTTAATGTGCATTTCCCCATGCGCCTTGAGCTAGAGCCGACCAGTCGAACGCTAGTAAGAGTCTGAAAGTTCTCTTTACGTTCCTCTGATGACAGGGCACAAAAGATTGAAAAAAAGCCAAATAAAAGTTAATTTTGAAATGATAGATATCCAATGAGACCTGAATGCTTTCAAAAGGAGAGCGGAATTGGGAGTTAAATTATATAATGAAGTAAATACTACTTCCACCATGGGTGGCACGAGAGGGAATAATAAATTCTTTCCGACTAAAAACGCGGAGCCACCGTGCATTACTTCAGCCGGGGTTGCGGAGTAAGCGCAATGAGGCACCACGACCTCGGCCCAGAGCAGGATAAGGAACAGGGGGTTTTTAAGTCAGTAAGAGTCTGACACTCCCTCCCGCCCGACCCTGGGCGGGAGAAGTCATTTGATGATTTTCTCCTCACAAAAAAAAACCGTGCATTACTTGTACCTACAGTCTACAGTACAGTGCACTCGCACCTCTGTTCCAGGCCAGGCTGCGGTAACTTATTGCGCTTGAGTCAAGCGCAATAAGTTACCGCAGCCTGGCAATAAGTTACGGCCGCTGCGGGTCAAGCGGCTTGACCCGCAGCGGCCACAGCCCAGACTGAACACCGGGCCTTTTTGGCCTCATCTGTCGGCTATTTGAAATTTTGAAATGCACGCGGAATGCCGAGCGCCGTACGCTCGGTTCCGGTCAGCCGGCGATGTACCCTTGTTCGCCGACCGCGGACCCGTACTTACGGTTTCATAGATCTAGCCGATTCGTCGGCTTGTTGTGGGTTGTTGGGTATCCATTAGCGTTTTCGGTTGTTTACCACCAGGTCATTAGCATGTTCGTTTGCCAAACTATGCCATGAAACAATACATAAATATAAACTAGCGACCCGCCCCGTTTATGCACGGGTGCAATGCTGATACTAAATACACTACAAACTGTGTTTAAAATCGATCCAGAAGTTATGAACACAAAAGTTTTGATCACCTTTCCCTATACCATGCAGATTTCCTGATATCTTTGGGATATCTAAATTCATACACTACATTTTTAACTATTTATTCTATTTTTACAATATATTACAAAATGTCTTTATAAACAACGCTCACAGCTTTCTTGTCATTAAACAATACAAACATGTTTTCTCTAAAGGTCACTCTTGAAAGAGCAACATACCTACAGTTGTCCATGTGAAAAACAGTCAACGCTCAAAGCCTGCAACGTTGAAGGTTTGAGCCTGCGATTTATTAATGGTCATTGCAAAAGATGTCTTTACCGGAAACTGTAAACATTTAAATTGGAAGGGCAGATCCGATGGTTTCAGAGGGATTTGGGGAATCAATAAAAGAAAAGAAAACAAACAATTACTACCACAATATTTATTTCAAAATACATCACTGGAAAAGACGTTTTATAGAAGATTAATTTGGCAACAATACCATTAAAATACATTTGAACGCTAAGATAAGAAATACAGTCATATATCGGTCACCTAAGTACCTACCTATTATTAACTAAGATAATAATAAAATAGAATAAGCAGCCGTAAAGAGGTAGCTGCGGGCATAATGACACTGTAACTGTTGAAAATGATTATATTTTTAACAAATAAAACAATAGTATCACTGTTATTATTGACATACAATATTTAAACTAAAGAATAAAATATATTCGGTAAACTAATATAGAAAACCACAGCTCCTCCACTTTAGGCCTTCTGTCCTGACCATACCGTGTCCCGTACCATGTATATCCATTCAAAGTCGTAAATTTGAATAAATATTATATTATTTCAAGCTGTTTTGTAGCAGACGCGTAATCACAGAAATTATCTAATAAAATTAGATACATTATATTGTGTTCTTCTGTCTTCACCATCCACCAGGAACAAAACTATGCTTGTAATAGATAATATTTAATCTTCTTTCCTTTATCAAACTGTATATATTTATCCTAGCAATTTCCTAGCACTAACATCACAGTGTGGTCCCCTAACATATAAATTACAACAGAACCAAATGTAGAAAACTTCGGTAAAAAATAAATGTAAATTAATACTGTTTGCCTTCAAAATTAGTTAAGTCAATGTATAAAATGATTACAAAAATGGTCTATAGGTAAGCGGGAATATTTATAGAATAATAATTATCTATTATGGAACATCATGAATTACACACATCTCGTAAATACGTAATTGAGATGACCTATAGACTATTTCATTTTATAGTTAACTTTTATCACTGAAAAAATTTGACATACCTAATTAAAATACAAAATTATTATATTTTTTAGAAATTAATCTAGCGAAACCTTATTCACAAAAGATCTTTTAATAAAATAATTGATTTAGTCACGCTTTAAATTAAAGGGACTGCATTATTTTCAAATTTAATACAATTCACTTCCCACATATTATTCGAGTTATACTCTCAACCACATCATGCCAATGTTTATGAAATGTAAATAAAATAAAAACTCTATAAAATAAATAAATTTCATTTTCATTTTAAACATATCCTCCTACAAAATTCAAAAAAATAACAATAAGTATATTTTTTGTAAGTCTTATAAGACTATACTTTTTTGTAATTTTAAAATATAATGCCTTCCATAACTTTCTTAAAACACTACTTCAAGGATGTTAAGTCAGGAAAAGATTTTAGTGGAGCACTCTACCATGAAATATATATGTATAAATAAAACTAGGAACTCCTAAATATTTAGTTTGCATTCATTGTACTGAGATCAGTTAAGTAAGTACCAATAATTAAGAACATTCCTTATGTTCTATAATAATCAAACTGTACCTATTTTAAAAATACACTTATGAAGTTTAGGCGCTGTTTTACCATATCTCTTTCGGTTAGTTTTATTGGTAGATAATTTAACGTACCTCGTGACAGCGGTAAAACAGGTTCTAAATCTATCACTGGGCCCATTGGGAACAGACCTACATCAAGAAATCTATCGAAAAATACGATTTAATATGATAATATTATGAATTTCAAATAACATTCGCTAAGCCGAAAATGAACCTAATTTATAACACCTATTAAATACAAACTAAGAAACTCTAGTTTAAGCCTTTAAATTCGATAATGGAATAAAATATTTATTACAGTCTTGCAAATAAAAAAATATCAAAGTAAACTCCTTTTGAAAAAGGGGTTCCAATATTTACCCATACCTTACTGAATTATCGGAATACGTGTAAGTACATAAAATATCATTAACTATCATTAAGGGAATATTAAGTCATCATGATTAAAATTGAATTTGACTTTGATATTGAGATCGAAATGAAAATTGTCTGTCATTACTTTACAAGGCAACTAATACAAAAATAATTATAATGTGTACATTAACTTATGCATTAATTATGATATTCACGCGGGAAATATAAACTATGATGATATGAATATTGAACATTGAACATCCCCAATTATAACAATAGGGAATTACTTGATTGTCACTTCTAACTAGTACGAAATTAGACAGTGAAACAGTGAACCTCGAGTCAGTTTTTGAATTTTATGTTTCTTGTTTTATTTATACAACGCCTTTGTATGGTTACTAATTGTTACTGACGTGTGACTATTTATTAACCATACGAAGAGCAAATGCGATATCAATAACCTTAAGAAATCATTTTGTTTAGAATGTTAATGGTATTTAGTAGTCATCGTCATCTTCTGGGTCAGACATTGAGAATATTGGAACAAATTTAGCTGTATCCACCGGCCGGCGGATGGCGTTGTATCAGAAGACATTTTTGGGCGGCGGTACGGAAACCACGGCGGCGCCAGCTCGTCCAGTGCTCAGAGGGGCCAATTTACGCCAGCAGTTGGACTCAGAATCATATACCTCTACCACGCACAGATATTGGACTCCGTCGTATCCACCTAAAGTGATAATGTCATGTTAACAATTGCGTTTTGAAGGAGATATATGCTTAGGGAGACTTGGAAGGTGTCTAGTATAAATGGAAGGAGTTTAAATAATGGAAACATATTCTCACCAACAGCAACGATTCGGTCGCCAAGTAGACAAGAACCAATAGCATCTCTGCCATAAGAGAGGCGAGCTAAAAGAACCCAAGTGTCTGCTACAGGGTCGTATCGCTCGACGCAGGCCAGGCGACCGCCGACAGTGTTGGCGGGCGCCTCGTGCCCTCCCAGGGCGTATAAGTAGCCACCTGCTGCACACACCTGTAAATATTAAATCTCGTTTAGAAACCGAAACTTGTGAGGTTCTTCCCTGTAAAAATAAATGTAACCCCCGTTTTCGAAACATTACTGATTTCTTTTTTAGTACGTAATTCCATTTTCTATAGATTAACAACGGTCGTATTTGGATTAGCTCATGCGATAATATTCTCTAATAATAACGATGTTAGGCCCAAAACACAATGAGAAACCTTTAGAAAAGTGGCTTAAAATAAGACTTTATTTACTTCACGAAAGTAGGTATAGACATTTATAGTCGCGTCGCGTTGAGTTGGCATTTTAGGCTACATAGATGATACTTACGCTGACTCCTCCACGACGCCTGGTCATAGGTGCGCAGTTGGTCCAATGGTTGGTGGCCGGGTCGTAGCACTCGACGGAGCGCAGACAGGCCCCTCCATCCCGACCACCCACCGCGTAGAGGCGGCCACGCAGTGCCGCCACCCCACAGGTACTGCGCGCCCCCGTCATCGGGGACACGATAGTCCACGTACGGGAACACGCGTCCCATCTTAACACAAATTATAAAAATCCATTTCATTTAAATATAGCGCTGCCTATGGTCATAAGAGACGCTATATGCATAAAGCGACTCTGGAGACTAAAGAAGGCGCTAACCTTTAAAATACAGCTTACAGATTTTAGGGACAGCTCATTAATTTAGAAGCTCAAAGGTATGGCTCAAAACTAGTTAAAACTTGAGCATCCTTATTTTACAATTAAAATATTTTACGATTAAATAATTTCTATTTTATACAATGTAACAATTTCTAATTAAACTTTAACTTCGCTTTGAAAATAACAATTGGTTATTTTTTATGTATGTTGATTGACCATGTGAATCCTATAGTTAGGAGGAGTTCTTACCTTTCTACAGAATTTAAATATATCCATCCATCGTGACCGCCTACTGCGTATACGGGGGAGTTTGGCCCATCGCCTAGAACTGCGACACCAAGTCCGTGCCGGTGGGTATTCATAGGAGCCAGTACACTCCAGCTCAGAGATGTCAAATCGAAGCATTCAACCTAAAATATTATTCAAATTTCAAACGTTTTTCTATTAAAATAATAAAATAAATGTTAAGAAAAAAATACCGTATTTAAAGTTTTAAGTCCATCTCTGCCGCCAACAACGATAAGTTTGTTTTGCATGACTGCAACACCAAACTGCAGTCTCCTTGCACCCATACGCATAAATGGCGTCCATGTATTCGTTCGAGGATCGTACATTTCCATATTACTGGCACCCTAAAATAAACATTTTAATTTAATTTAACACTTTTTTAGCCCTTAATATCAGAACATTACTTTGATGCCAACCAATGTTAGACGGAGTCAAATATACCTAACACCAATTTAGCTGGTTACAATATCAATCCTATTTTAGACTTTTATAGATTATTTGTAAGTGTAGATGCAATATTTGTTAATCTTTCACATAAAAGGTACTGAAAATATACTGAGAGAGATTATAATAAAATTACCTGTCTGGCTACACATGTTGGCAAAGTTAGTAGATAATTTTTGAGATAGTTTTTTTTGGAAGATTGGTTGTTGCGGTGGCTGGGAAACTGGCTGCCGTGCAACGTGTCCGGGTTCGATTCCCGCACGGATCAACTCTTTGTGTGATTTGCAAATTGTTGTTCCGGGTCTGGGTGTCATGTGTATGTGAAATTGTATGTTTGTAACCGCACCCACGACACAGGAGAAAATCCTAACGTGGGGCAACGTTTTTTTTTTTTTTAAAAAAAAAAAAAGATAATAAATATTTTCAAACCTTGTATCCGTCCATGCCGCCAATAGCTAAAAGGCGTCCAATAGTCGATGTCCGTGGTCGGGTTCTATGTGAGAATAGAAGAGATCTTCGCTCAGGCAACAGGTGCCACTTCACAGCTTCCATGATGAGAGGCTGGCATTCTGGTACATTACCACAGGCTTGTTCCACCTTGTCAATAAGGTACTAGAAACAAATAAGTTATTTTTATTATAACTTTCGTGAGACATTCTAAATTAATTACTCACGAAATAATTTGACGAGATTAGTTTCAAGCCATGCTAGAAAGCATAGCTTGAAACTAGTCGAGTATCTCGATATGTATCGATTTTATTTTTTGTTTAATGAAATAGCAATATTTTTGTGTTGATGATAGGGATGAACCATATGATTATTTTTAATTAATTTAAGGACTTGTGAGTACTAATAATATTTACTCACTACCCCTGGATTATTACCTGGATTTATAGCACACAAAGCTATTCTAAGCAAATGTCAGTTCATACTCATTTCTTGATTTTGAAAACATGATCCAGTTTTTTAAGTTCTTCTCATTTTATTGGGCACAATAAGTGCCTTTGTAATACAAGATGGCATTAGTTTTTCTACAAAGTTATATGAAGAACATATACATATGTATGCTATTATAATATGATATATAGTGTTGTACTGCTATCTTAGTTTTGATAGTATTCATTCTGTATTATTCTACTAGTCAAGCCCTTTTTATTTGGCATTGATTTTTGGTGGTGACACAATATGTGGTTTTTTATATTAGTTATAATGGCAAAAGTATAATTTTGTTGGCACCTTGTTGCTTTTTTCATAGTGCACTACATTCATATCTTTTTAGTTGTAAGTAAATGAAGAAAAATATTGTTATTGCCCTTCAGTATGGCAATTGTTAGGTGTGTGTGTGTGATTAATGTTAAATCAAAAAACCAAACAAACAAACAAGCAGGGTGAGCTTAATTAAATCTTTACCTCAGATGAAAGAAGAGGCAGCTTAATTAACTTCAGTAAAGTGGCCAAATGGCATTCTCTGGTTGCACTATCATGCTGAACCCAAGTCATCAAGCTTTCAAATACATTTTCCTCAGTCACTACATTGAGGTCATCAGATTTTAATAAATTGGACAGTTGGTCTGACTGCAGTGAAAGGAACTCTTGATGTTTTACCACCTGCACAGAGTACAAAAATTGTTTTAAGAGTAATGAAGTATCAAATTAGAAAATTGTCTGACATTTATTCAATATTTCAATAAATGGCAATAAAAAAAATTAAAAATTATATAGTAAAAATAAAACAAAATTTTAACCTGCATGAAGTTTTGGTAAGTGTATTTTAAAGCGCTTTTGTGTAAATCCAGACATGACTGTTGTTCAGCAAATAAAGCTATACCCAGGCAATTGCATGGGTCTAGCTGCTTCTTTAAGAAAGCGCAACAAGCATTTGTAACAGAATTAAGCTGCAGCAAGCTCGATGTTGAAAGGAGCACCTCAACTGTTTCCTCTCTCAGCTCTGCAAACCAAAAAACATATAATTGGATCAGACCAACCTTCTATTAGTTCAAAAAATGTAAGTGCTTACACTGCAGCTAAACATAAATCAGTTTTTATTTAAAATTTGTAGCAAAAAAATCTAAGCTGTAAAATTAGTCATTTATTATTGGGATTTGTGCTTTAAGGTAAAATTTATAAATGATGCTGCAGAATATAAGCAACTTAATAATAAGAAGTAAAATTATGGTACTAGCCTATGGTGCCAGTGTAACAATAGTGCACTAGGTCCTGTAGAGCTTGGGGATCAACTCTTTCAAGAGTTATTTCACTGGACTGAGCTTCCCGTAAGGAGCCAGTGAACATTGCTGCAAAATACTCACTGCATGATGCAAGCAGTATTTTATGTGCTGGTATTCTGTTGTGAAGAAATTATCAAATATAAATTATTTAATGACTTTGAGAAACTAAGGACTTATTATTATTGTTATTAAAAATATATTTGTCTGCTTCTTTCAAAGTTCCAATGTACCAAAAGCAATGAAAGTAATCAACATACACACCAAGGTTTATTTGTAAAATGAGAGAGTACAACAAAGAACAAGTCAGTAGCTCTTTGTACATATCAGATTTAGAAGAAGTTATGAGTCATCAGTTTCCTATTTTATTATAAGTAGAAGTAAAAGTAGTTTAGGTAAATGTGTTGTTTTATGTGGTCAAAATATTGAAAATGGTGTAAATGTTAATCCTTTCATTGTTATTTTTGACAGATAATAAAAAATAAAACAAAGCACAATGCTATGTTTATCCTGATTTAAGTAAACACCATTCAATACAATTTCAGACTAAGAGTCAGGTGTTGAAAGGTTGAAAATTTTGAAGTAATTTTGGAACCATTTACAAGATATACATGACTGCATATGATATTTGTTGCGCGCTGTGACAATAAATTTTTGTTACGCATGGATAAGTTAATAAGCAAGGTGTTTGTAATTTTGCATATATAGGCGTTAAACGATTGTTTGGTGTTTACGACCTCTTAGGAAACACATGACCTTTTATTTGATACCTACTTAAAATGTAAATAAACAAACCTGCATCCTCCTGCAATAAGGACAACATCGCACAATTTTTGGGATTGGTAATAACCAAAAATATTTTTTAAGGCAGCCCCCGAGTGTCCTGTGTCACAAAAGAATTCATCTTGGCTGGAACCACTTGAAAGACTTAACTGACTCAGTTCCCTTGGCAAACCTTCATCGATCGAATTGCTCGATATATTATCTTTAGAAGACTCAGGCTTCTGAGTCTCGCTTGCTGACATTTTTAACTTGGAAGTTATTATCGCGAGCACTTTTATATCTTATATTATTTTCTTTAAAAATTTAAACTGCACAATTCATAACAAAGCAACGACGCTTCGACAAGAATTTTTGCAAACGAAAACAAAGACATGTATTTTTCATTCGTTGACAAAGGAGCCTGTGTTGCCACTTACCAACAAACTCAAAATGTACTTTTACCAATATGAGATACCTTAACTACCAATGGAATGATAGTTTAATAGTAGTGATTTTCGAATGTTATATGTAAAATAATAAAAATGCGACTGCAAAATGATTCCATGTAGATTTTTTTGAATTATGACATTTACTTCAATTCAGTATATTTACTTCAGTATCTATACATGTCAGTATTATAATGTACTCTGTGCTTTACTTTGCAGGGCACACTCAGTAACTTAAATTAATTACCTCACTTATAAATAAATTGTTTTGAATTATTTATCAATCCAATAAAACTTATACACATGTTTATTGATTTCATATCATTATAACCACTTAGTTTTCTTCTTCTTTTGCTACGTAATGCTGAGCGACACAAAAGCTTTTATTTACGTTATGATACCAGTACAATCGTATATACAATTTATCGTTTCTGATATAATGACGGAACGGCACCAATATAACTGTTGGTGCCGTCTAAGGTTAGTGGCGTGTTTAGGTAACAGGTTGCTACAATGTGCTATGAGTTCGATTCGAGACCTAAAATATTAGGTCTTGTCGTTCAAAAAATGCTAAATTATTTTTTTGCGCCTAACCCGTCTTCATCCGTGTCATACCGTCTCATCGAATTAAGACAGCGACACTTTTGGACCATGATGAATTCTGCGAAGTGTTTTGTCTGGCTAGTCTATTGCTGATCAAAAGAGACTTTGTAAAAAAAGTGTTGAATTTGGCTAGTTGGACACATCGTAAGTCTGAAGTAAGTCATTTTGTTTTGTTTCGAGTTCTTAAAGGTACTTTTATTATGGAAAGTAGACCAAAGTTCGACATTGCAAAGAAAAGCGATTGTGTTGTTAGTAAAGTCATATAGATGGCGTTAGTAGTTCATCTCATTAGTTTAAGATTCTGCTAAGTACTTAGCAGAACAATTTTCAGCAGACAAATCCAGACTCGTTTCATTGGTACTTAGGTATATCGCTATTTATAAGAGGTAAGAGATAAATGGTAAGGTTCCTACCTTTATAAAGGGCCGGATGCTTTAAATGCTTCATGGAACTGAAATATTGAAACGTAAACTTGCCTATATAAAATAGATAATATCTAGTTTTTCCGACACAGGAACCGACAAAATGCATTAACATAATTTTACCGCCTTCGTTTTCCCCCTTAGTTTCGAGGAAACGAGTACGTAGTTTTTTTAATCTCTGCGTCGTGACCCCTAAGGGTGTCACGAAGCCTCTTTAGAGGGGTCGCAGTAACTTTAAGATTTAAAGTATCTTCAACCCCTTAAAGAGGCTTTAAAGTTAAGTAGGCATGGAAGCTAGTAGAATCCTTTTTGGCCGCTGATGAACTCGCTCGAATGGTTCCAAATGTGTATACCGAGTGAAAAGTCTAGGCTCGATCTCTAGGACGGGAAAATATCTAAGTACCCATATTAAAAATCATAATTCATAACTGCCAATTGGTTGGAAGGTTTGAAAAATCGGTGTACTCATGTATTGCGTTATAACTCCCTTCACCTTTAGCTTTGGTCAAGCACATGTAAGTATTAGGTAGGTATTATCTCCGCAAGAAACATAGGAGACCCTCGTTTCGGCACGAATTGGTCCTGATACATTACCTAAGGTCTAATAGAAAAAAAAGCGTCAAACAACCATAGCGTTGTGTCTTGCGGTGTTAGGTTACCGGAGGCCCAATCCTTCCCCACTCTCTACCCCCTCCGCCCCAAACTCTAAATCTCGAAAAGGCCGACAACGCACTGATACTCGTAACTCGTTTGGTGAAATAGGTGTCCATGGGTGTCGCTGATTGCTTACCATCAGGTCCGTCTGCTCAGTTGTCGTCCTATCACTTTCAAATTTTTTTTAAAGCGATTTTTATCAATTCCAGTTTCTGACTTTGATTCCGTTTGAATAAATTACTAAGATTTTAATCCGGCTAGAATAAAGGGATGAAGGGTGCTGAATTTCTGGGTCCCCGTTGTACAAGCGAATAACAATATTTTTTAAATTAAATATTCACTTTAGCACCTTATATTTATAGGTAATAGTTATTTTCTATTAAACTGTTTATAGTACTGCTTTTATTATAACATTATGAAACTTTAAATCGACATGAATGCCTCTTTAGTTACAAGTGTGACTTCGAGAGATCTCAGTTTATAATTTTGATATTTTTATATGACACCCAAATCTGGTGAAAACCGGTGATTAAAACAAGAAAAAATATTAGGTACCTACGCCGAAGATAAATTTGTAGGTGTACTAATAACATGATTAAAAGAGTCCCGATTGCTGCTTTATTTAACTACACGATAACTGTACATTGCATTATCTTCGCATTTGTAGACAAGTAAGATAGATACTCAGTAGGTAGGTAGCTAGCTCTAAATGCTGCTACATTCTTATAAGGCTAAATATATATTTTCCGGGTACGGCAACACAAAATAAAACATGTGTGTTATCTGGCTGAGGCATTTATTAACATTTATTTTTGTTTTTCAATTTTTTTTCTTAATACAACATACATAGTAATTAACAATACATAATAAATAGTCCAAAAGTATATTACGCCTACAAAATAGCGTAGTCGTTATAAGATTATCGCCATATGAGTTGCTTACATGTCCTGCGAAATGTCTAGGCAACTCCATGACACGGCTGAAAAAGTGGGAATATTCTCAGAGAGAATGACAGGGAAGATTCAGCAAGACTACCGAGCATCACATTCAGTAATGTGAAGTCGTTCACAAGTTTAGGTCGCTCAGATGTTCCTGGGTACGTACTCGACAGTGAGTAGGTGGATTCTCTCGGAGGCTATTCCATTTTTCATCCAAGCTATGCGATGACAATGACCTATGCGGCCTGCCTGAGTGAGCACGAGCGTTCTCTGCCTCTCGGCCGTCAGTTGGTATGACAGAGTCCGACAGTGTATTGCTGTCTACGGTAATTGTGAGTCAACAAATTATCAACGATTCAGTTTGTGCGGTCAGAGATAGTTAATTGTTTGTCTTCTGGCGAACACAACACTATGAGAAAATATACATATGTTAATATCTATCTAGTGGTAATCAATTAAATATGTATCTACAAAAATAGTTGCATTCTCAAATAATAATTGATTTTCCTCAAGAAGAACGGCTAAAGTGATGGTTGTACCGTCTTGCGCGAAGGTTGTTTTGATACAGCAAAATTTCTATGAAAATGTTTGTGAAATATTAATTGACCAAACAAAGAGTTTTTGTGTAATATTTATCCACTACAAGTGTGACATCTAAAAATATTGTTCTTCAACAGTAAATATCGTTGAAGCATTTTCCCCATTTGAGTTGTAGAGATACTTTAGGTAGGTATAAGTACGTTATGAGAAATAGATATTACAGTAATATCTAATTTGAACTGAGTTCTATCTTTCATTTCCAAAAGAGTTGTAGAAGTACGGTTTCAGTCGCAAGATACTGCGAATCGTATAAAAGTGTCTAGAAACGATTTGTAAATGTTAGATATAAGTAGGCGTTTATTATATTTATATGACAAGTTGTGCTCATAGTAGGTGCTTACATATATTTAACAATCACTAGATATAAATACAATAAATAGGTGGGTGAGGGGTGCGTCGAAGTAATGGCGAAGACACAAGAGCGGTCACAGTGACAACGAGAAGCGGGCCGGGCCGCGGCGCGGCGACGCCACGCAGCCCCGGCACGATCACTACATACAGACAGTGGACTGGACAACAATTAGCATCTTCATTATTCTACATACACATACAGGTATATATTCATAAAATTGACCAAAATTGCAAAATGTTTCTAAAGTAATGGGGCCATTCCAACTAAAATAACAGACATTTGGATCGAAACAATAGGTTTGACTAGTTGCAGGGTAACTTTATCTATAGGATATACCAGTAAATAAGATATCCATATATAGAATGTGCGAAGCCTAAACAGTATCTAACCATGACGTGCCTGTATTTAATACAGACCAACATAACTCTGACATAGGTATCATACGTACATAGTAATTAGTACATATATTAAATTAATATTAATCACATTGATAGGTACATAGTCTATTCCCGAGATCTTGATTTGCATCTTAACCTATAAGTATTTAAAATATCACAATAAATTGCTGTGCACATACGAAACAGGCAAATTTTAGTGCAGTTAGATTAATTTTAAATATTTAATTCCGTCTTAATGAAAAATGTTTAAATTAAATAATAATAAATACTAATTCACAAAATGTTTTCAATTTAATTATAATCATGATAAAGTACTTATTTGCCGAGCAGTCTTGGGGTATAAAATAATATTTAACGTCTAATTCTATTGAAATAAAGGTAGGTACATAAAGTATTAAATGCCATTACGGAGATCATATATGATATGCTGACTGAAGTACCTATACACTTAAAAAAAGAAAAAAACATCTCAGAATTCATTGACATTAAAATGTTATCGTCACATTCGGTTTTGAAAGAGCTTTTAGTTTAATTAGTTGGTAGGTAGGTACTGTTATTATCAAAATAATTTCTAATTGAGCACCACGTAGCTAAGTTAAATTGCCCTTTAATAATACATTATGAAAGAATAATATAACCTAATTACTCAAATAAACACAGCGAATGTATCCCATTACCTTTAGTAAGTATACGTAAAGTTTAATTTCATAAACTGTGTTACTCCACTGTTGTTTTGTCGAAGTATAAATAATCGACCTTCCTAGTCAGGTCATTAAAATTTTAATTTGGGTATAATGACTCGTATTTTAGGTAGCCTTCACCTATTTGTGGCAAAAGGCTGATAAATAAAACCAATTTGCTACACACGTTTAAAAAAACTTTGATTAATGTGTTTCTGTTATAAAATATATCGAAACATTAAATAAAGATAAGTCTTAAGTGAGATTAACATCAAAGCAGATACCGAAAAATAATTTATGTACCGAACTCGGTTTTCGTGAATGTGTTGTTTGTTTAATATAAATACCGCCGAGTCTGCTGGCTCAAGAACTACGTTCTAACAGACTGTGGCGGTGTTTATTCAAATTTTGGAGTATCCAGACTTATTACAGTAATTTGGAATTTAGTTTAGTACAAATAAGACTGCTTCGATGTGCCTCCCAATTCTCACATACGACCTATCTCTTTTGTGTTTCACATCCACTGTTTATAACTACAGTATAGCTATTATAATTTCAATTTACTACATTTGGCTTAGAAATACAATTTAATATTTGAATATCTTATAAAACTACCACTAAAACTAAATATTTTAGTGACTAGCTACACATTGAATGGGGTGCTAGAAATAAATCTCGACTGTTAATTGGTGCATTGACTACTTACTAAGTTACTACCAAACGACACTACCTCGTACACAACAAACTTCCCTACTGAGTATATATCTTTAAATAATTTAAATGTTGTTTCCATTAACTATATCTACGAATTAAACTTTAAGAATATTATTAAAAACTACCATAGTTGACTTACGTCACGAAGAATAACGTACTTACTTAACTATAGTGGATGTGAACATTTCATTATATATATATTTTTGTAAGAAATAAGTAACTAATTAGATAATGGCTTGTTCGATGAAATAAACGTACGTATACCTACTCGGGTTCATTTTTCTATGGTACATTCGTGTAGACACAAGTCGTAGTTTTCTTTTTTGTGGAAAAAATATATTTATAACTAGAGGTATAATTAAATTAATTCCTAATTTTGATACTATTTACGTGTTCTTTTTTATTCTGTGATTGTTTTATGTCAATGAATTCGTGAAACTATGATCTTATGGGCACTAAAGTCTCATTTTCTTGCAATACACTGCATTTTTTTTCCAAAATGTAAAATGTAGGTACTAACCTAAATGTCAAATCATAAAACTTATTAAAAAAGTAAGTGGCTAAATAGGAACTAAGCACTGACTAAAAGTATTGACTATGTATGCTAAATAAGTTCCCCAGACTAGATCGGCAAAGGATATTAATTTTTCAGTCAAAAATACTAACTTTATTCTAGCCATATTGAACATATCAGTAACTCATACATAAATTAATAACTATATAATTAAATACTAACCAAATAAATGCATCATTAAATAAATCGATTATTTTATAATATTACATAATATAGCTGCCTCTAGTCGAGATCAATTTATGTTAAAATACTTAATGCTCTCATATCTTAATAATTGTCTTTTGAAAGTAATATACTTAAGTATAAAGTTATTGATAAATCAGAAAAAATAATGGACAAGACTGCCAACGACGGCTGATCACCAAGTTCTAGTGCGGACTCGTCGGAGCAGTCGCCGATCGCATATTATAGGCCGACTAATTAAACAAATATAAAATAATTCATTTGGTATCTATCTATATACAACACATTTTTAAATTTCTCTTATTTACTTTACAACCCTCATTATAATAAGGAATGTCATAACTTAATGTAGAGTAATTACATAAAGTGAATACATATTTTAACAAATCGACAAACATTTACGTTTTGCCAAATGAAGAACTATTCTAAAATTTTATGTATATGTTCTACTGTCTAACAATGTTGACTACCAGTCTCACATTTTAGTTTAATAAGTGCTAGAAGGTATGAAATACATGGAAAATAAATCAGCTGCGGAGAAGTTTAATTGGGACGAAACCAGATCGTATCACTGCTTTCCTTCGTTCACTGGGCGGGCCAGCGCGGCGTGTTCTGCTGTCTCGATTGTCGCAGTCGGAAACCTTACACTACACTTTTAGTGGTCATGTTTTGGCATAGGCTGCACCACTACTTGATATGTTTCATTACGTTCAACGCATGTACGAGTTATGACTGGTTGCGCCCGAATACTATTTCTAGGAGTTCGCAGCTTTCACTGATCGCAATTAAGCACGGGGCCAATCGATCGTATATTTTACATGAGGTCCGTGTAGCACTGGCGGAGTATTAGAGCACTAAAGGGTCAGGGTCCGGGAGGGGTCGGTCCTTAGCGGCCACGCGCCCACCGCAGTAGCGCGTCGGCCAGGACATCTAGGTGGGCTTTCGTCTGCAACAACAATACAACATTAAGTACTCAGCCACCCATCAACTGTCGGGGACTTTCAAGCTAGTTACATCTAAGCACTACCTGACTGAAAAAGACAGCCATATCATGACTTCTTGCTGCCATGAAAGTAAATTAAAATGTGTAATATAGTATGTCTAAAATACGAGGATTTTTCAGGTTTCATATTAAACAAATTCTCTGACTGGCAAATATGGTTTTGCTGGATATTCAATCGTTGATTATATAGGTATTTTTATTTAAGCATCGAATGCATTCAATTGTGGAATTTTGAACCTACATGAGAAATTATCGGGAGAACAATTTACAAGAGAAACAGTTATAGTTTTCTCTGATCAAAATTAACGAGTTTACATCTCATACACAAGCGAGCAAGCAAATATTAGTAAGTATAGAATCACCGTTTTGTAGAACATGCAAGCCTGTCGGTCTTCATCCTCGCCACTGGGGCAGTCGATGAAGCCGTCACACAACACATGGTCGTCAATGCAGCGGTAGCGCCCTTGTCGGTCGGGTGTCGGGCACGCAAACCGCTCCATACCGTCCGCAGCTGGTGGACATTCTGTAACAAATCGACTTGATATAGAAACAATTACAAGTACTAATTATACTACAATTGTAAAGCTACAGAGTTTGTTTGTTTCTTTGTTTAATCGTGCTAGTCTCCGTAACTACTGGCTTGAATGGAAATAATATTTTCATGTAGGATAGCTCATTTGCAGAGAAAGATATAGGCCATAAAATATCACTACGACGAATAGCCGCAAAGTAACGTGCTAACGTAATAGCTAGTTTGTCTATAAAAAGTAATAGTTACTATAAAACTTTACAAAGTTATAGAACAATATCGGAAAGAGATTTAAACTTGACAATGTTATACGGTATTTTGGTGTAAACTACATGTCGGTTCACTGTATAAGGAGATACGAATAAAATAAATATAGTCACAGATATACGACGTAAGGCAATTTTCGACATTCACAATTATATTACTAGGCACCAGCTTCTGGCTTCGCCGGCACTACTGGGATAAAAAGTGTGTGTTATTCCAGAATATGATCTATCTCTTCGCAAATTTTTATTCAGATCCGTTTAGCAGTTTTTACGTAAACAATACCTAAAAACTATTCATCCATCCAGCAATCCATACTCAGGTACATATTTTCGTTTATAATATTAGTAATTGAGGGCAAATTACTTATTGTAGTGTGACAATAACCAGTATGTACATTGAACGTGATATAAAGCTATTATCTAGCTAGTGAGTCCATTTATATTTAATTTTCGTGAATCTTTAAATACATTTTGTATCTATAATGGTTAAAATGTCAATAGTCATTTCTTAAACGAGGATAACGAACTTTGACCTTCGTTGTAAACAAAGTCACTTATAACTTTGAATTGGTTCTCTGTGAATAGTGCTCTTTAGTCCGTGCTCTTCAATTGAAAAGGGTTTAATAAGCTATACTAACATTACATAGTACAACATTACTGTGTTGTTTTGTCAATATAAATATATTGTTCCTTTTTGGGGTTATTGAATCAGACTCTTTGGAGTGCCTTACCTACTCAGTTATTGTATCTGGTATGATTCAATAGGCCTTATTCGCCCCTTGTTATATGGGGCTCTGGAAGCAACTGGTGAGAAGCAGGTACCCCTGCGATGCATAAGATGTGAAGTAAATCAATGTGTTTAATGCTATGTTGCTTTTGCGTGGAGTGGCAAACGTGCAACATCTCCTGGTGGTAAGCAATTGGCGCCACCCAAGGATACTCGCAAAACTAATAGAAGTACAAGCGGCTACCGGCCTTTAATAATTGGGAATATAGGGATATGGGATTTGGCAAGCACACAAAGAAACCGTTGTTACACGTCACTTTTCTGTATCACTTTGTTTGAGCTGGCCCATTCTCCCACATCAGAGTTTCTTGGAAATTTGTACCTTTGACCACAAAAGTTTATTTACCATCAACGCATGATAATTACTTTGTTTCAATAATCTTTGATATTCAGTGACTGTAAAATGGCCGTATTGTATGAAAGTGTTAATTAAGGGAACGTTCCCTTATAAAGGATCAAAGCAATTCAATCAACTGACCATAGCTTGCGTAAAATACTGCTTTAGTATCGGAGTCTCTTGTTTCATATAATTTTAGTTAAGACTAGAGACTGAAGTGTCCCGGGTCTACTTGGGATTCTCTAACTTTTCTGTTAGAATAAGCGACCAGTAACAAACACGACAAAAAACTAACGAATTATGCAATTGTGTCGATTAGTTCGGGAGTAATGCGCATACATTTCAGTGATTTATTTTACTTATGTAGAAATCAGAAGTTTTTGTGCTCATTTCATTTCTGTTTGTTTACTTCAGATAAATTTATTCAAACACATATAGAATTTAAAGATTTATCGAACAGCGTTTCGCCTCACTTTTTTTTTCAAACACGCCAAATATTGGTTTTCTTTGGCATAGTCTGTGTTTCCCAAGGGGTGTCTTCAAGGCCCAAGTGAATAGGTTCTTATTGGTTGGGGTGACCATCGCAAACGATTGCTGATAAAAATATAAAATATTTTAGTTTAGAAAAGTTGATATTTAATTTGGTCTTGAAATTAATTCTGGCCGTCCATATTTTTACGTCTGCTTATAAAACATTAATAATAGAATATGTATCAAATCTGTTGTAATAAACTTGTCCCTATCTTATTGTACTAAGATTGTACCCTCTTTCCAGTTTCCACAAGTTAAACTTAAGATGACTTAAGTTTCAAACAACGACTTAATTTTAAGCGTAGGACTAAGACTAGAAAACTTGTAGAATAAATTGTTGTTACAATTAAAACTTCATTATTATATAATATTTTATAACAGCTGGTGTCTATTATTATCTATACTAGTTCCTACCTTTCGGTTTTATTCCCGGGTTAGCAAATAATTATTAATTAGTTATTATTATAATTATTAATTACATTAGTTTCGAAGTTCAAGAATAAAATACTAATGCTAATAATCTGTGTCAAGAGTGTCAAGAGTTGAGAGCAGCACAAGTTTAATAGACGTAATTTTTTTAAATCAAATGGTAGTAATTTTCATTGTATGGCACTATTGTTGACAAAATCAAAAGTTTGATTCGTCACAATCGTACAATCGTACAATTGTACAAATATGTAATTACACCCACACAAGAAATACTCGCAGCGAAATGAGATCGTCCTCGTTTTTTATTCGTTGGCCGATAAATAACGACTTATCTTACCTTTTAACAAGGGAAGAAAAACATCGCACGTGAGCCCACATGTGTAATATATATTCTCATAAGTCTGATAGTATAAGGATCGATAGGTCACATACATGGCAACGACGCACTTACAAGGAATAAAGTGAACACTTTATTTTCCACAATAAAATTCTACTAAGCTCTCATACATACATAGAAAATCTAATAAAATACCTATATTATTTTACCTGCAAAGTTAAATTAAGTTTCTTCGATATTTATATAACTTTTACTGGCGGAGGACAAAAAATAATAGATGACATTTAGATGACCTTTTTAAGACGCACTCCGTAGACCTCTGACGTGTCACGGAAAACATCATAAAATGTGAGTACGTAATGTAAATACTGAGTAAATTTATTAGAAAAGTTAGTGAACGTATTACCAGTACGATTTATCAAAAATAAAATATGATCATCCATTTCGTAGCGATGAGTGTGTTGTCAGCTCTTTCCCAAAAGTTATTGTAAGTTTCGGTCAGTTAACTGTGCGATATTCCGAAGCTCCGCGACTAAACTGGTTGCTTACACAGACTATGATGGCAGGCCACTCAATCCGAGCGTCTATTTTTAGCAACGCCGGGGAAAGTGAAGCCCATGGCTCGATTGCGCGCGCCCTCTGTATACCTCTATCCTTAGCCTCTATCTATTCACTTTGTGGGGAGGCAGCGACGACGTCTTGTGCATTCGTAAGCAGCTATTGGTACCATTCACGCGAAATACTATTTTACAGTTATCAAATATGCTATTCATTCTATTTCTAAATACGTATTACACAATTATCTTTATTTGAAAAAAACAATATTTTATCTTAAAAAATAATAGTTTCGAAAACGTTGTGAACTTATTGCAAATGATTCAGATATTAACGATAAACAATGTATTTTTAATTAAATACGTCGTAAGAAAATGAAGGCGTCACGCTTAAAGATAATCTCATAATACTTTAAGTCTTACCGTTTAATTAACGGCATCATAATAAGGTTTAATCTTTTTAGTATTTATCATACAAAGGAATTATGAATATTGCTGGCAGCATTTTATAGAAGATAATTTATGGAAGATAAAGTGTGTGTATGTGTGTCAAAACAATAATCTAACAAGTGGTAGCATTGATGGATATAGTACGGTCTATGAGGAAAACAACTACCACAATAAATCAATAACATTTTCGTTTCAGGTGTACAGAAACATAATAAAGTTTATATATCATAACGTTAAAACCATGTTAAGTGAATAAAACTTTTGGAACTGTATGAAAATGTGTTTATAATATGATATTATACAGAGTACCAGTATTGTAACAGAACATATGTATTAGTTGTAGTCATGTAACTTATGACTAGGTGTGAAAATATATATAAGTATTTGCGAGCACTGGTTAGTATTTTTCAGAAATTATGAAAAAAAAAATATTACTAGTAAGTCTCCATTATTTTATATGTTCATTTAAGATCAAAATAGAATGTCTTTAAAATTTATGGCCAGTTTCACCGGCTTTTTATAGCCCTATCAATTAGAACATAGAAAGTTATACGTAAATACTAGAATATCTTTACTAATACTAGATTAAACTACATGTTAGTTAATTGAGATCAGTGAAACTAACTATACCTACGTGCAAAGTATTAATAAATACGGCCTAGCTCATAGTTACGAGTGCAGTAAAAGACCGTTTCATTTTATTTTCTATGATCATACTTTCGTCATAGTTTTCTTTATAGACGAGGAAAATCTCTAAGTATCATTTCATCAAATAGTAGAGCGTAGTTCTATAAAAAGAGTACTGTACGCGACTGTAAAACTGAAGTTACGTGCTCACGTAAAGCCAGCATCAAGTATTCAGGGCGATGGCAGATACAAGCCGCCTCCGGGATCTTAATATGGCTTTTAAGAGCTCGCACTTTTGAAATATCTGTCATTTGTAACACACTTTAACGTTTAGGTATCTCAAGATTCTCACCTTATATCATGTTACTAGGTATCTTGAGATTTCACGCTCTTTATTTGCTGGGTTTTGCTTTTACATAGCTTTTCATTTGTAAGGTTCTTTCATTTTTATGAATGTTATGCTTGCTCCTAATGTTTTGTGTTTAGCATATGAAAATATTTTCATAGCGAAACTCTACGTATAAGGTCATCTAACCCTCTGTTTAGCTGTGTATTAAAAAAGCTAGGCGAATATTTTAACATGCACATACAGTGCACAAAACCTTAATCAAATTCTATTCACTCGGCAGCAAGAACTCGTAACGCGACGTACGCGACGGCGAGTATTTTAGTGACATAAATTAAAGTAGATACTTAGGTCTAGTTTAACATTTGTATTTCATTGTAAAGTATACATATTTATTTTTAGCATTGCTTTTTATAAGAGCTACCTAAAATTAGAGACGTTGTTCCACATTTTAGCAGAAAATTATAAAAATAAAACACCGTTTTAAAAATATACGAGCAAAGTTATTTAGGTTGTTACATTCCGGAAAATTCTACCATAATGCGTGTGTAGCACGCATCCGTTTCTTTATTAAACCTAATCGTCCATAAAAAGAAACTACTACGAATTTGTAGGTTGTTATGTTATTATTAACATTCTGTCATTCCGTAAATAAAAAATAAGTTAATCTTGAATAACAGTCAAAGTAAATTGTTTCTGTAGAAATTGTATTCTAAAAATAAATACGTAAAATTATGTCTCATACAAAATGCTTACTTATACAAACGGACAGCGACTACTTAAAGCACCGCCAAGTTGGTACATACGTCACGAGCGTGGGTGTTATCCCGTATTACTCATGATAGTGATCGCGGGATCGAGTACGCAGCAGACTTTTCGGCGTCGAATACGTCATCGGTCGTTACCACACTGTCGAATGTCTTTCATTCGGTTAGTGTTGAACATAAACGTCCGAAACACCTTTAATTATGACTAGTTCATTGTTTGTGACAGTTTTATTCCCTGCCGGCGAATAATATCGGCGAAATGAAAACCTAATCAGACCCGCACTTCAACAGTGATGCGAATATTTTTCATAAAATCGATACTTTCTCAAGAAATGAATTTTTATTATGACTGTACCGAACGTGAAGCCATTTTGAGTAACTATTCTTCGCAAGTTTTACTTCGCGCTAGGATCACGTGCTGTAACTTGGATTTAAAGGTTTAGTCTCGAGCTTCGTTCGGATTTACAGTAAACTTCACAATAGTGACTGGTTTTAATTTATTTGTTTCAATAGAAGCTTGGTTTACTGGAATAGAAATATGTACTTAATGTAATTATTAACTGTGCGTGAAGATGGAATACAAATGTATTTAAATTTTGAATGGAGATTCTGTAGTTGTTTACAGTAGTGTAACAAATTTAGTGTGGTTTCGTAGTGTATTAATAAACTGAGTCTGTCAATTGTGCCCGCATCATTAATGGATAACAGTGAGTAGCTTTATTTCAATAAAACTAAAATAACAGTGCAGCACGTGCGTGGCTTTTTGTGGCCGTCGATAGTCTACTTAGACCCTTTCTGACTGATAAATATTAACAAGACGTCGTCGTACGTGCGCATTGTTAACGAGGGATGCTGCCAATCCGTCTATCATTTGCCACAGTCGAGTTTTGAGGCAGCTGACATAAAAAAAACGGTAATCTGGTTTAACATGTCATCGAGGTATCGCCTTGTAAGCTTTGTATAAGCTGTATTGTTTTAAATGTATTATCAGTTACTTGTAATTCAGCAAAGACAAAATGTCAAATATTTATTTTGAATGTTACATGCTTCAAATTTTTTTTCCTGTATAATCAATTGTCAATACCACACCAATGTAACAAATGAAAGTTTATTTACCTAATATTATATTGTATAGATTTACCTTTACGTAGCACTTAATGTCTACGACACGGCGTAGGTGGCAAATTGTCTGCTACGAGGCCGTAGTGGTTATTCTACTTATGTGGTAGGAAGCTAATGGACATAACTCTGCAGCTAAGTATAACTTGCTTGACAATTTAAATACGGCACGGGATATCCGATACAGGATGAGTCATTTATAGCTATGATAAATGAACTACCCACGCTGACTTTATTGCTGACAATTCCGACTAACCCGAAATAACAGTTTGGCATTAAAGAAAATATGATCTTCAGCTAGACACGAAGTTTCCAAGTAACAAAGTATATCGATCAGTGACAAATAAAATACTTGTTGTTAACTTGTATAGCTTTAGTTTCAGCTTGAGAAAAAGTTTCAGATTTACGAGGTTTTATATTTA